TATCTCGGTCAAAGAGATTTTTGTTTCCAAGTTTTACAAAGTTATTTCTGACTAAATTATTAACTGATCTAGTTTTGAGCAGCCACCAATGTCCAGAATGAACCAGACCGAACCAGCAATGTCCAGTATGAACCAGACCGAACCACCAATGTCCAGCCTGAACCAGACCGAACCACCAATGTCCAGTTTAAACCAGACTGAGCTAGCTATGTCCAGCGTGGACGTGGCCAGGAACTACTGGCTGACCGACGAGGAGAAACGAATGTTCGAGACGGTGAACTACGTTTTTCTCTGCGGGGCCTTCTCTCTCTTCGGCATCATCACCAACATCATCAACCTGCTAGTGTTCTACAGACAGGGTTTCGGCTCCACCATGAACATCAGCTTCTTCTGTCTGGCCATCGCCGAGATCTGCAGCCTCCAGGGTCTCTTCACCATGCCCCTGTTCTTCAACCCTTTGGTCGCGAACTCGGACATCCCGCTCAACACTAAGGAGACTTTCTACCTCATTGCCAGCTGTCCCTACATTACATTTTACCGTACGACGTGTCTGATCATGGTGTATGTTACAGCAGAAAGATGTATCTGTATAGTATTTCCTTTGAAAGTGAAGACTATGATCACAACGAAAAGAACGACGGTGACAATGGTTTCAATGTACGTCTTCTCCATAGCACTAGCTGCCCCGGAGTACGCGACAACCTACTACGACTGGAAATTTTACCCCGGGATGAACGTCACCAAGATAGGGATATATTTTAAAGCCGACAGGAAAGCGCTAGACAGCTTTGACTACTACGCTTACATGTCTGTGAATATCGTTACCACGTCGTTTGTGTTTGTGTTTACGTCTGTGCTGATTGTAAAACTTAGACACAACGCAAGATGGCGTCTGCAGAACTCGAATGATATAAAAGACGTTTCGTCGGTTCGGGATCGGAAGGCGATGAAAATGGTGATGTTGATTTCGAGTATTTTAATCTTGAGTTCGATTCCGAATATAACTTTGTCTTTGATCAACGTGTTTGTCAGTGAGTTCACAGTTTTCGGAATTTACCAGAATATTTTCTTTGTCTCCTGGTCATTCTCGTACACGCTTGGTGCCATCAACTCAAGCGTGACGATAATTCTCTACTACAACATGAGTTCCAAGTACAGGCAGACCTTCCACGAGATATTCCACATGTGCTAGGGTTCTTTTAGGGGGCGGAGTCTGACTCACGACTGATGACTGACAGTATCTAAATCATGACTGATGACTGTGAAAGTATATGAATCATGACTGACAACATCTGACTTATGACTGTCACTCTATGAGACAGCCTATTCTCCTTGATTAGCCTCCTATCTGCCAGTATTCATCACTTTTAGCGTCTTAATTCTCATATTACCTAATTCAACACACACATATATTTCGATCCTATTTGCACAAATGAAAGCTGCACTGATTTAAAATCAATGTCTCTCTGTTTTAATAAAAAGAAAATATTTACATGTGATAATATACAGAGTATGTTGTTTTTCAAATCAATGTATAGTTACAAACATAAATATTTCGACAAAATACAGTAACAAAAATTTCAACTATTGTTAGATGATTGGTAATTAAGTGCACATTGTGTGGGCCATTAACATAAATAATACATAAAGACAAGTTGTTGAATGATCGGGTTTAACTTTTTCTTAACACGCACACCAACATCCACATACTAATGACCAAGGGGGTCATCCATAAATGACGTCACGCTTTTTTGGTACGATTTTTACCTCCTTCCTCCCTCCCCTCCGTCACACATCGTCACAAAAAGCCAACCCCCCACCCCCTCCCTTAAAATGACGTCACACCTCAGCCTACAACCCCCTCAAAATTGCGGTTGAATTTTTTTCCCAAATATTGTCTGTACGCTGTCAACATAAAGTATTTTAATCCATTCCTATTACAATTTATTAAAACAGTTTTCTAAATCGCGAAATAACGTTTAAAATTCGTTTTCTAGCATTACTTTCTATGATGCAAAAGTGTGACGTCGTACCATCTGAACCCCCTCCCCCTCATCACACACCGTCACAAAATTACGGATCCCCCTCCCCCTACGAGTGTGACGTCATTTATGGACGACCCCTAAGTACCTCCACTAGTTACAGTGCTGCCGTATAAGCCACAGTTTATGAAACTTTTACTTTTAATAATGCTTCAATATTAATTGAAACAAATATTTTTGGAAACATTATCTCCTTTGTTCCAAGAGGCCTACATAAGTGATGAAGCACTGCTGAAGTTGGACTTGTGACGATGTTGTACGTTAGTTTAGAAAGTGTGACGTCATTCCTAATTTTTACCAAATTTAAATGAATATATTAGGAAGTTGAGTTTTAAAAAGTGACAATTGTACTTTGTAAAGGAGGCGAGGGGGCTGATGCAATGTTATTCCAGGGGTCATTTTTATAAGGAGGGGGGGGGGGGTCTAACTAATCATGACGATGTGGATTATGGAGTGGGAGGGGCATTGGCAAAATGTTTAATTCTTAATTATACCGTATTCACAAAAAAAAATACCTCTATTTTCGTTTTGAAGTTCTTATTTATCTCTGCTGTTGAAATTTTTATTTAAACTGTATGTTTGTAGTTCCTTCTAATTAAATGATTAATTTTGACCTAAAGAAATGACTCTATATTGGAAGTTGGCTGACATCTTCAGTGGAATTTGTTACAGATGGAAGAGAAACTTGTAAGATAAAATGCAGAGTTTCTTTCAGGCATCTTTTCTGGGGAAAGGGGGCTCCGCTTCCCCGAAGTACGTCTACCCTTTCACCTCGAACTAAATATAATTAATGTAAAAAATATATACGTTTACCAGCGTCCGCCCCCACCCCCCAGAGAAATTTGTACCCCCCCCCCCACCCGCCGAGAGAAAAGTCTGAAAGAAACACGCGATCTATTATGAAAGATTACAAACCCGTCTTTAACTTGTTCAGTGTTTCTTCCAGACTTTTTTCTCCGGGGGGGCACTTGAAATTTTCGGGGGGGCGGTAGACTTTCTTCGGGGGGGCGGACACTGTTAAAAGTATATATTTTCTATATAAATTTCATTTCGTTCGGGGGGGCGGTAAAAATTTTTCGGGGGGGCTTCGCCCCCCCGAAGAGATGCCTGGAAGAAACTCTGAACTTGTTAAAGCATAGACCTATTATTCCTCAATGTCCAAACCCCGTTTTATTTTAGCACAGCACCTCCCCCTCCCCCTTTAAAAATTGTTTTATGTGCAACACTAGTAGCCTTTACGCCTAGTTTCGCCGAATAAGAAATTTCGACCAAAATTACTGTCTGAGAATATTTAGTCTGTATTGGTCATTTAGAAAGAAATTGTCTTTGTGCTCATCTTCGACAAACTATTCGGCAGTACGGTGGAACATTTATCGACCAGGCATTTTAAATCGGCAGCGGTCATCCGGAAAAAAAAAGTATTTTGCTGAGGTTAAAAAAAAAAGCATTGACCTAACGAAACAATTATTTGACATTTTAAAAGCCAGTGGAATAGAAAGAAAACATTAATCTTCCAGAAGATTCTAGTATATTTTTTTATTGTTCTACCGAAACAAATATTGTACTTTTCGCTTCTATTAAATTGGGCTTAAGAAATCGCACGATTTATCGTGAGATCATTGTGTAGTAGAGCACGTGGAATAGTGGATCACACAATTAAAAGAAATCAACTCGTACGCTTGTACGGGTGAAGTTTTTCCCCAATCATCTTCTGATCGTTAATTCACGTCACGACACGACACGATGCTGGCACAGGTTATGAATCATCGTTTAAAGACGGTGTTTTTGTTTATCAGAGCTGGGTTCGTTAGCTTAAGTGTGGTTAGTTGGTTTTTTTTTTTTAAAAAAGAAGGGTTGGGATATGATTCTTGGTGTTGTAAAAGATATGGGCTCAGAGGCGTAGCGAGGGGGGGGGGGGGGGCGGGGGGGACATATGTCCCCGGGCGCCGACCTTAGGGGGGGGGGGCGCCAAATTGAAAGTTTGAGGGGGGGTGCAAATGAAAAGTTCGAGGGGGGGGGGGTGCAAATCGAAAGTTTGAGGGGGGGGGTGCAAATGAAAAGTTGGAGGGGGGGGGTGCAAATCGGAAATTTGCTCCCGAGGGGGGCGCCAAATTGAAAGTATGTCCCCGGGCGCCGGGAAGGGTCGCTACGCCTCTGTATGGGCTACCTACTAGCTGTGTTGTGTGTCTGCGCGATCGTGTAGTAGAGAGCACGACTGCTAAGAACGGAAGTCCGTGAGTCTACCCAGCTCTAATGGGTACCTGGCTCGCGTTAGGGAAAGTAAGGCTGCCGGGCATAGCAATGACCACACCTTTTCATATGTTGTGGTCATGAACTCTACTTCATCTGCCCTATGGATCATCAGGAACGAAATGGGAACTTTTACTAGCGGCATCTGTCATGTTGCTAATGATTTATTATACGAACATTAACAACGTGACGTAAATTTAGCACTTTTCAAGTCCATTCCCATTGGTTATAATTATAACATGACAAGGTTCCAGCGCATCAGTTCCCCCCCCCCCCCCCCCCCCCCCATCTTTTTACACAATTTTACTTCTGAGAAGAAAATATATTCAACTAAACACATTCCTCAATGTGTCATCTCTGTCTTCTCCCATGGCTTAAAACTGCCCCACACACTGCCCTAGATCCCAACCCCTAGGTCTCCGCACACGGCTTACACCACCCCTGTAGTTGCTTCCCTTAACTTAATATTCCCCCCTCCACACCAAAAAAGTTTGTTACGTTACATACTCTAAAAGCTTGGTGCACATCATTAAGAATGTTATTTAAATCGGTGTGAGTGAAGTCGACAGATGTGAAATCGTACAACCACCCTTTACCGTAGTCTATCCTCGACTATAGCGGGTAACCTTTAGCCTTTGCTCAATACTAACCCAGTAGGTTATGTGTGTAGCGTAAGACCTGATGAAAAAGTAACTCGAAACACCAACATACAAGTAATTATAAACAAGTTTATTCTATTTACAAAAGGAACCAAATGTACAGTGTTATATAGAGGACAATTTGACTATACAGCCGTGTAGTCTACCATCTTTGACAGTGTGAGTTTTAATGGCTAGATGGAACAGCACAGGGGGAAATATACAGCTGGAGGTCAAGAATATCCTAACACATGGTGTAAGATGGCTGAGGTCAAGGACATCCTAACACAGTGTAAGATGGCTGAGGTCAAGGACATCCAACACATGGTGTAAGATGGCTGAGGTCAAGGACATCCAACACAGTGTAAGATGGCTGAGGTCAAGGACATCCTAACACAGTGTAAGATGGCTGAGGTCAAGGACATCCTAACACAGTGTAAGATGGCTGAGGTCAAGGACATCCTAACACAGTGTAAGATGGCTGAGGTCAAGGACATCCAACACATGGTGTAAGATGGCTGAGGTCAAGAATATCCTAACACATGATGTAAGATGGCTGAGGTCAAGAATATCCTAACACACGGTGTAAGATGGCTGAGGTCAAGGACATCCTAACACATAGTGTAAGATGGCTGAGGTCAAGGACATCCTAACACATGATGTAAGATGGCTGAGGTCAAGGACATCCTAACACATGATGTAAGATGGCTGAGGTCAAGGACATCCTAACACATGATGTAAGATGGCTGAGGTCAAGGACATCCAACACATGGTGTAAGATGGCTGGGGTCAAGGAGGGGGACAGAGGTCAATAATAAAATTTAAAATGCAATTTTGTCAGCATGTTATTGTTCAACATTTAAAACCCAAGCCAGAGTCATAATTTGAATGAAGTGAGAAAACATGAGATAAAATATGGACATCATTTGTGGAGAGACTGAAAGACAAATTGAAATGCCTGTAATCACAGATGTTTTGTTAGAAGAAATGTGACTTCAATGTACCACAGCAGTTACAGTAGTAACACAAGTTGTGGCAGAAAAATTTAAAAAAATGGACTCAGTTCAAGGAACAAAATTAAAAAAAAAAACACTTTAAAAATTAAAATGTCCAGTCACATCTATTTGCAAAACAGCAATGGTTGAAATCACTGCCATAGTTGTTTGGTTAGTCACTTTTAGTTTTAATTTTAAAGTTCATTTGTATAGCCTATTCTTACAGGATGGAACTAAAAATGTCTGTAAATTATATATACAATCCTTGAAAGTCATCAATTAATGGTAAGATTTGAAAAAGGAATTTATCTTTAAAACAAAATGTCAGTATATTTTAACACACATACCAAAGAGATTGTAGTAGTGTTGGATTACATTTTGTAAACAAAACAAAACCACAAAATGTACAGTAGGTTGGCAGCTTATGTTTTACATTAGATTGATGAGAACATACAGCAGTTGTCAAATTCTCACACACAAGCAGACACATTTCACACAAAATTTAGTCAAACTTCCACACACACACAACCAGACAAATCTCACACAAAATTTAGTCAAACTTCCACACACACACAACCAGACAAATCTCACACAAAATTTAGTCAGACCTCCACACACACAACCAGACAAATCTCACACAAAATTTAGTCAGACCTCCACACACACACACAACCAGACAAATCTCACACAAAATTTAGTCAGACCTCCACTCACACAACCAGACAAATCTCACACAAAATTTAGTCAGACCTCCACACACACAACCAGACAAATCTCACACAAAATTTAGTCAGACCTCCACACACACAACCAGACAAATCTCACACAAAATTTAGTCAGACCTCCACTCACACAACCAGACAAATCTCACACAAAATTTAGTCAGACCTCCACTCACACAACCAGACAAATCTCACATAAAATTTTGACATGCAGCCTTGCACTTAAGGTCAAAGCCTGACTTTACTTTGATGTGACATAAAAATGTATTGTTAGAATATGAACCTTTCAATAGAGAAATAATGCTGTTATGAAGAACTTAGCTAGCAACTTTTCCCCTTTAAATATCAGTCAAACTACCAAAACTACAAGCACTGCTACAAACTCCAGATTTTGAGTCTCTGATAAGCCAACAGGCAGACACTTCTTTTATCACTGGAATCACTGAGGTGGCAACAATTGTCATGGCTGGCTGAACTCTGTTTCTGACCAGGTACTCTCCATATCACTGTAGTCAGGCTAACAAATGGGGAGATATTCATTCATTAAGTTATGGTCAAACTAGAAACATAGAGGAGAAATTTTTATGATCTAACTAGAATTCTATTGGATAGCGTGGCCTAGCAGTAGAGAGCTTAACTGCTAACCCAGAAGTCTCAAGTTCAAATCCGGGTTCAAATCAGTAGAAAGTCCCTGGGTTCACCCAACTCTAATGGGTATCTAACTCATGTTTTAGGGAAAAAAGGCGACTGGGCATAGTGGTGACCACACTATCCCTTCTTATGCTGAGGTCTAAGAAGCAGATGAACTCTACTTCAACAGCCCCATGAGTCTTGGGCTCGAAAGGGAAAAAGATGATGAACTTAAATTCTAGAAGAAATTGTTTAATGATCAATCAAAAATTCTATGAGAACATTTTTTAAGTTCAAACAAAAAATTTTATTTGAAGATCAGAGACCAACACAGAGGAGTGAAATCCTTATTATGAGAGAGGGCATTGCTTATGTTAAATATTGATGGGAAAAATTTTTGAACAAAATATATTCACAAAGATTTAAATCTTTAAGATTTATTTTGGTGACACCTTTTAGATCACTATAAGGTACACTATGATCCATGACGTTTACATTAAACATATGCACCAAATCAAAATATTTTTGTAGCTGTGTTTAAGTTTTAAAAAAAAAAGGAAAAGAGAGTTACCTCCCCATCACTAGGGTTCATCATCTCCTCAGGTTCAACATCAAATGTACCATCCAGACCCATCTCATTGTGTTTCTCTACTCTCTCACTTGCTTCCCTTGCTCGAAAGTTATTGGGGTCAAGGCTGCAAACAGGTTTAAAAATTTGCTGATCATATTGTTAGGGCTTTTAATTTTTTACAGATTACAAAAATATACTTTTTAAAAATAAAATACTGTTGACAAAGATTGAAGTGAGCAAAGCTATTTAAAATAATTAGTTATATAACATACATAGACAAAAATAAATGTACTACTGATCTAAGCCAGTAGAAGATAACAATCTATCCTACCTGAGAGATATGCTATACTGATCTAAGCCAGTAGAAGATAACAATTTATGCTACCTGAGAGATATGCTATACTGATCTAAGCCAGTAGAAGACAACAATCTATCCTACCTGAGAGATATGCTATACTGATCTAAGCCAGTAGAAGATAACAATCTATCCTACCTGAGAGATATGCTATACTGATCTAAGTCAGTAGAAGACAACAATCTATCCTACCTGAGAGATATGCTATACTGATCTAAGTCAGTAGAAGACAACAATCTATCCTACCTGAGAGATATGCTATACTGATCTAAGCCAGTAGAAGGCAACAATCTATCCTACCTGAGAGATATGCTATACTGATCTAAGCCAGTAGAAGACAACAATCTATCCTACCTGAGAGATATGCTATACTGATCTAAGCCAGGAGAAGACAACAATCTATCCTACCTGAGAGATATGCTATACTGATCTAAGCCAGGAGAAGACAACAATCTATCCTACCTGAGAGATATGCTATACTGATCTAAAGCTTCTTGTCTCTGATCCATGCTGGCCAAGCAATCAGCCAACTGTTGATGTAACCTTGTGGTGCTGTGATTCTCTAACATTTTTCTCAGTCTATGGAGCAGATAAAGACATTCAGTTCAGTCAAGGCTCCAGAGATTTAAATGTACAGAGATGTAAATGTACAGAGATTTAAATGTACAGAGATTTAAATGTACAGAGATTTAAATGTACAGAGATTTAAACGTACAGAGATTTAAATGTACAGAGATTTAAATGTACAGAGATTTAAATGTACAGAGATTTAAATGTACAGAGATTTAAATGTACAGAGATTTAAATGTACAGAGATTTAAATGTACAGAGATTTAAACGTACAGAGATTTAAATGTACAGAGATTTAAATGTACAGAGATTTAAATGTACAGAGATTTAAATGAGGCACACTGACAGGTGTCTTTCCCTACAGCTTCAAACTTTCTTTTTACTACATGGAGAATCATTGCAATACAACAAAACTCACCTAGTCTGTAAAGTGAATTTTATAGTTTGAATAGAACTGGTTTTGTATTTGAAATACTCACAGTTCAACCCCCTTAGCAAAGTCTTGTTCTATTTGAAATACTCACAGTTCAACCCCCTTAGCAAAGTCTTGTTCTATTTGAAATACTCACAGTTCAACCCCCTTAGCAAAGTCTTGTTCCTGTATCAGCAGATCCACCATCAGGTAAACTGGGTCAAGCAGGTTGCCATCAAATGTCATGGCCCGATTCAAATACTGTTTGGCCTGAGGATTGTTTAACTTTTGGTAACAGAGAATATGATACTATAGTACAGAACTGTTTGAAAACCTATTGAAATTATGAAACCTGTACTACTTAAAGTAGGCATACAAGCATAAAGCATTTAAAATTCTTTCATTAAAAAGAGCAGTTTAAAAAATAAAGTAAGTTACCTTAGCAACTGTGGCAGGGTCCTTGGCTAAAACATGAGCCACAAGCTGGAACAAAAAGTGAGAAAGTATTTGAGAAGGTCCAGAAACTAGTAATGACGAGCAACAAAATAAACAACATGAACTAATCCACTCACTGTAAATGTTCTGGCATTGTTGCCAATTGTTTTACATGCCCTCATCGCCCATGCTAAGGCCTCTTTGATTTTTCTATTGCTCACATAACAATCTATTAAACCTGAAATAATTTAAACAATAAATAAACATCATCATTTTGATTAAAAATTGTAATTTTAAATATCATCTTTAAGTAACTATCAAGGCAATATCAGAATGGATATAGATAAGAAAATACCTTGGTAAGCTTCAAATCTGTTAGGAGCCATTCTGACAGCTTCTTGGAAGTGTTGCATAGCCTGTGGTCCTTTCTTCATATCCAACAAAGCTGTGCCTTTTAAGACGAGTGCTTGGACTGAGAGGTTGTCTATAGAGTAAGCCTGTGGAGGTTTACATGGGACACAGGGTTAGTACAGCTACTTTAGTAGCAAGTTTATTATCCAAAACACAATAGTAGAGATATCGCATTTCAAATAAAGCCCATAAAATTAAAGAACAAATAAACAGTGAAGATATGTAAAACTAATAAAGCATAGTTTAACTAAACCAAAAGACCACAGTGTTTATAGATAACAGACACCATACCTTCTGTGCACAATATATGGCTCTGATGGTTTTGTTTTTGTTGGCATTGGATGAGTGAAGTGCTAGAGAGCTGTAACCCATGGCAACCCAGGGCTCTACAGCATGCTCTGATACAGACATCAGACCTTGGGCTAATCTATATTTCATAGGAGAGATTTTTTTTAATGTCTTGTTTAAGGGCAAGTATACAAATAGTGAAAGTAAAATTTAAATATCATGTTAGAGGGTTTTGTAAACCAGTGATCTTGATGTTAGATGCTATATCATAATACTTACAAATGCAGATCCTCTGTTTTTTTCTCTTTGAACAAAAGATATGCATACATGTCCATGTTCTTTAAGTATAAGGGGTCAATGATGTGGACCTAAACAGGGAAGATATTTAACCATTTATTTTAATTACTGGGTTGTGATTATCATTGGTTTGTATTTCTTAATGAGGCAGTGAAAAGGATAAAATAACTTTGGTGAATCTTACAGTGTTTACACTTACTATACATGTCAAGGAAAAAACCTGCATTGAGTAAATGTTATATGAAAACATTTTTTCTTAGTAACATGTATACTTACTTGCTGCATGTTTATGTTTTCTAGACATGTATAGTATATATGTTGCAAGTGTAAACACTGTGTTAGAGTTCTACAGAACACAAACTCTAGTATGTTAAAAAGAATGATTGCCTTAATATTATATTGAGTGTAATAAGAAACCATACAATTATTTATGAATGAGACCTTGAATCTAGTAAAATATTTGAAAGCTCCCTAGACTTACCCTCCTAAACTGAGCCATAGCTTGTGTGTAATGGCCACCATGAAAACACGCCTCCCCGAGATAGCTCAAGATGAGTACATTGTCTTTTAAACCATGCTGGTACAGGAAATAAATGGTACACTTTCACATATAACAATCTTTTGATTATTAGGTACAACAATCCTAATATATAAAAGCCCATGTGCGCACCTCTCTCTCTCGCTCTCTCACTCTGTCCGCAAAATATTTTTGCAGGATATCACATCAGAATCTTCAGCGATATATGGAGAACTTGATACGGACTTTTGTTAAAAATAATATGGTAGATGTTTTAAATGTATAAACAAAATTTTATTTAAAGAAGAAAAATAAAAAATAAATGCATATTCGAATGTAGTTTTAATTATGCAGCAGGAAAAGTGTTTATAGTTGAGACAAGAACGCCGAAATTGATGATGTCACATGTCATATGCTTGAAGTACGAAAAGTACACAAAGCCAATGGTGTCATCTTCCAATTTTAGAATATGAAGAAATGAACTATTTCATTAAAATTTGATTTAGATCTATAGATTTACTTATCGAGACGTAATTTGTGAAATTTATACAATTTGCTCGGCCAAACTAATACAAATTACTTAAAAAAGAACATAAATACCATTGAAAAGCTGGGTTTTTAACGGAATCATTTAAGTCTTTTAATCAATGTGTGCATTTAATATGGTGTTGTGTTCACTAATTATGTATATAGTTTGGTTTTATTTTTTCTAATAGGGATTAGTAGCCTATGTTTTTTTAAATGTGTCGGACTTTTAGCTATTTAGTTATTTCTTTGCTTTGTCACTAATATCATTAAACCTGTAGCAAGCAAGCACATTGCGTTTTGACCAATAACTATTTTTAAAATATTCTTCTGAAAAATGTAGGCCTATAACATTAAAAATATATAGACCTATAATCCACCTGAAAAGGGTACCGATGGCTAGTAAAAATTAGGGGCACCATGTATCTGATCAAGGCTAATTGCTCTATTCAATAATGTAAAGTTTGATGTCAATAGAAACCAAGGTTTGTATGCTATGTTTAACAGTATGACAACAAGAGATATCTGACCTTAGGCTCCATAGATCTGAAGGTGGTTATGGCACTACTGTACTCTTTAGATGCCATACGGGCTTGACCTTTGATCCAACTATTTAACCTGCGGGAATATTTTTTAATAATTAATGCATTTACTTTTTTTAACATACATTTCAATCTCTATCATTGATGCAATCGTTGATAGTTTTATTATTTAAGCTTTTCAATTAACATTTTATTCTGCTAGTTACACAATGTATGTAGATGAAAGAAAGCACTGTACCAATCACACGACGACTGAGGGATACTGTTGATGACATAAGAGCTTAGGTCCACACCCCTCATGCCTAGAGTCAGGAGACTTGTCAGAGCATCAAGGGCTAGAGGGTGCTCTCTGGAACATCACACACAACAAACAAGATCAAAAACTTGACCACAAACAATACTTTATTGTAAACAAACAATATGGGACCTAAAACTAAAAGTCTGGAGCGCCTGTAGGATGTACATAAGTCCACCCAACTCTGATGGGTATCTGACTGAAATTAGGGAAAGTGAAAATGGTTGTGCATTGAGCTGACCACACCCTTTGTTCATATGCTATGGACACAGAAACAGATGAACTCTACATCATCTACTATACTGTCAGTCAAGTCCAAAAGAGACACAATGACCAAAAATGTACACTAAAATTGTATTATCTTTCAATCAGTATAAATTTCCTTACCTAATAAGTTCTTTATAACATGTGATAGCTGATCTGTCTCTTCCTTCATGTAAGTAAAGTTTGGCTAGGGCAAGGTTCACACGGGCAGTCCTTTTCTTTGTGCTTATACTTTCTAACTATTGATAAAAATAATCAGATCAGGAAGTAGGAAAATACTAACTGAGATTGAATGATTACTATACAGGATGTTTTGAAGTTGTGACAGCTTTTTAAAATAATTTTCACAAATTAAAAATGTTTATTATTGTTAAATTACTGAAGCAATTATGCATTAATTTTTGTGACTTTTTAAAAAAATATTCTATGTACCTAAAGGCATAAAAAATGAAAGATTCCTGACACTAAAATATTTTGGAGGAAAAAAATGGACTTACTATATTAAGAGCTTCGACATTCTGCTTCATCTTGTGAAGACATTGGTAAATTTTATACTTCAGATCTACCTCAGATGTCAGCTCCTAAATAAAAATAGAGTTTTAAAAAAGAAGATGAACTTAATACAAAGCTGATAAAACTATATCTTTCCAGATTAATTACATTTCTGTATGATGCATTGTGCATATCCAAAACATAAAATCATAGGTAAAAGAGAGCTTGTTTAACTATATCATAAACTTGCTAAAATTACCCTTTGTGTGTAAAAAAAACAAAACAAACAGAAGGCTAAATATACATTTCCAAAGACTTACTGTTGAGGAAACTGTTTTGATCTTGCTTTTGTTAAGTGTCTTTCTTAACTGTAAGCACCTCATAAAAACACTCTGTGATGAGAAAAAAAATTCATTGTATTTTATATCCAACAATAGTAATGATATGACACAAGATAACATGTATTTACAGATTAGGGGCACTTCAGAGCAAGATTAATGCAAATGAGCAAATATTTTCAAAGAAATAACCAACATTCAAATAATGAGCATTCTAGTTATTCACATGTAATTATTTAGCTAATAATATGGTGCATACAAATTTTACTGTTAGGTTTAGGTTTTATAGACTAAAAGACAAGTTAAATAACAAATTATTTTCCTCAGTAAGTCTATAATAATAGTCATAGACTTACTTCTGACTTTTTATATTCCCCTAGTTGGTACAGTGCTTCGCCATAATAGACCAGACTTTGGTATTTCTGAGGTAAGGACAGGATCTCACCCAGGTCTCCTCCAGCATTGCCATCAAGCATGGAAATTACAATACAAAACTGAAAATCATTGATAAACAGAATGGAAATCACAATACAAAACTGAAAATCATTGATAAACAGAATGGAAATCACAATACAAAACTGAAAATCATTGATAAACAGAATGGAAATCACAATACAAAACTGAAAATCATTGATAAACAGAATGGAAATCACAATACAAAACTGAAAATCATTGATAAACAGAATGGAAATCACAATACAAAACTGAAAATCATTGATAAACAGAATGGAAATCACAATACAAAACTGAAAATCATTGATTAAAATCACACATTAAAGTGAACTTTTAATTATGTTTAATTTTTTTTTTTAAATTATTATTTGATAGTGATAAATTGTTCTGCATAGGTAAGGGTTCACAGGGTTCGTACTACTTTTTCAAAATGAAATTCCAGACTTTTTCCAGACATTTTCCAGACTTTTTTGGAAAAATTCCAGACTTTATATAATGTGTTCGTGAATAATTTATAAAATGTACCATTTGTACTCTCATTATAATTACTTATACTAAATTGACATTTATTTTAGGCAATTGAGATATATTTATATTGAACTTTCTCTAGCCAACAGAAAATCACTTTTTTTAGTTTGCCTACCCACTACACCTAAAATTTTAATAATTAAAATAATTGATTAAAATGATGCAGCTATTTTGTTTTAAACATTAGACTTATGTAATCTGTTCATGATCAAATTGCTTATGTTTTCAATTAAACTTTTATTAAAATGGTATTGCATAATAGTGAGAGTTAATTACTTTAAAGAATAATAATGTAATGTATTAATTTAGGTCTGCTATTGTTCCGTAGCCTAATATAATATGCTACTTGTAAAGAAAAAAATTGGAGCAAAAAAAAAAAAAAACCATTCTGCAGGCTGTAACCACATCATTCACTGTTTATGCTCATAGCTGAGAAACGGGTCTGCAATAAAAAAAATTGCCGGAATCCTCCTGACCCCCCCTCCCCTCACAACCACAAGACACCGTGAAGGGGTCATTGTGAGGTCATAGTAGTCTAGGCCTCCGTATGCCTGTTTAATACGTCATAACATGAACTGTGATGTGACTTATACCCCCCACCCTCCTTACCAAGCAGTATCAACTACATACTTAGGGTCACGGTGAGTTCACACAAGTGACCGTAGTTACATGGAGGGGCGGGGTAGTCTAGCTTCAATCGGCAGCATTGAAATCTGTGCTTGTGTTTTAAAAACCAACCCAGCGTGTAAACAATACACTGTATTTATATCTACCCAAACATTATTGCAAGAGCGTGTCGTCAAACTTTCTGAAACCCTCCTCCCGACTTTTCCGAGTGTGACGTCATTTATGGACGACTCCTAAATTTAAAAAAAGTACCTCTTTGGGGTCATCCATAAATGACGTCATGCTTTTTTGACGATTTTTACCTCGCCCCTCCCCTCAGTCACATGTCGTCACAAAAAGCCAGACCCCCCCTAAAATGACGTCACACCTCAACCTACAACCCCCCTCAAAATTACAGTTGAATTTTTTTTTAAACATCGATATTTTTCTAAAACTTTGTCTAAACTATTACAATTTATTAAAACAGTTATCTAAAACGCGAAATAACGTCTAAAATTCGTTTTCTAACATTGCTTTTTTATAATGCAAAAGTGTGACGTCGCAGCATCTGAACCCCCTCTCCCTCATACCACATCGTCACAAAATTACGGACCCCCCTCCCCCCTACGAGTGTGACGTCATTTATGGATGACCCCTTTGGTAAGCGACCGCTGAAGCAAACAGAAATACAGGTATGAGCTTAAGGAGGCCTCACGACTTATTAATCTTATAAATGTTAATATTAATCCAAAGTAAGTGAACGCATGTGGACAGGGGGTGTGGGTTTAAAATACGAATTATTTTTTTTTGGACGTCATAAATGGATGACCCTTACAAACAAATAGATTATATCTAAACTACCACTCACACACCTCCCCCATAACTTTTTTGTTATGACTGCCTGCATACAAACTTAAACAATGAAAAATAGCGGGTAAAATCGAGAGCATAACAATTCTGAGGGCGATCATTCTTTCATTAAATTTAAATGATAATTTTAAATACTTGTAACACTATCAGTCGCGACACAAAATATCTCTCCCCTCCCTTCCCCTCCTCTTCCAATGACGTAGTAATTATTTTTTTTTGCGAACCAGCAAAAAACGTCACAACAGTGTAAACCCGCGCGCAAGCGCGGGGGGAAAAAATTGGAGTAATTTCACTTTAAAATAGAATTTTTAAAGTAGGAAAATATGGACTTCGTGGAGAAGTTTTGTTTCTAAAACTGGATTCCAGACTTTTTCCAGACTTTTAAAAGATCCAGCCCAAAAACTAGCGATTTTCCAGACTTTTTTAAGTCTTAAATTCACTTTTCTAAATTCAAGACTTTTTCCAGACTGCGTACAAACCCTGGGTTCATCTATAAATGATGTCACGCTTTTTTGACAATTACTACCTCCCCCCCGTCACAAAAAGCCAGACCCCCCCCCCCCTAAAATGACGTCACACCTCAGCCTACAACCCCCCTCAAAATTGCTGTTGAATTTTTCTTAAAACATCGATATTTTTCCAAAATCTTGTCAGAACTCAGTCTACATACAGTATTTTGATCAATTCCTATTACAATTTATCAAAACCGTTTTCTAAAACACGAAATAACGGCTAAAACTCTTTTTCTAACATTGCTTTTTTATAATGCAAAAAAGTGATGTCACACCATCTGATGCCACCTCCCCCTCATCACACACCGTCACAAAATTACGGACCCCTCCCCCCTACGAGTGTGACGTCATTTATGGACGACCCTTAGGCCCTAACTAACATTTCTATTTTATTTATTGCAATCTATTTATAACAGTTTATTTTATAAAGCTATAGGCCTAACAGTTAAAACCCAAACCAATACTTGAAAACAAGAATTAGGCTTGTGCCAAACACTTTAAATTTTAAAGTAATTTAGTTTAGTTTAGGCCTAAAGTTTAAAATGAACTAAAAACTACAAAATTAGTGCCTAATGGATTAAATTTGAATGTCTATTATTCAGTGGTCATGTTTAAATTGAAAATTGCGTAAATTTTAGATTTAGTGAGAAAATCTACTAGATCTAGATTCTAGATCTACTGATCTAGATTTTGTTTTAATTTATCCATGGTCCATGTCATCTGATGTGGTTGATAAAATTAGGTCTAGGTAATATTTTCAGAACTTATGTGCTAACCAGCTGTTTTAGATCCTCATAGAGTTCCGCTTGATATAATTCGCGAATATGATCAAACATTTGCCCAGGCATCTTGCTGCGTAATTTATTCTAGATATCTAGATCCAGATCTAATTTATAAAATCAAACGACCCTCTCAGCAAACAAAAACAACCCTGAGTTATCTATCTTGAAAATTGCACTTCCTGTTAGCGGTGAAGCTTAAAAAGCGGCCCCGTATTAATTTTCATTAGTAAAAACAGGAAATTAAGGTTATTTTTTGTTTCTACTCACATTAATGTGGAATAAAGTATTTGGTGAGACAGTAATAAAATAACTTTTTCTAAAGTAAGAATTTTGTATAAAATCACATATTCGATATCTGCATGTAGACCTACATTTTTCACTATAGCAAATACGTAGGAGGAAAAATGATGTAGCAGGCGGTGTCCATTTAAGATTGCAAAGGACCAATTGCATATTTGGGATTTTGCAGCAGATTGAAAATTGAAATAAGCCTAAGAAATATACACTATGGTGTGTTAACGAAGCTAACTAATTTGCAGTTTTTTTTATATGTTTATATTAGAAATGTGTAATTATTGTACGCACACATTAACGCAAGGGACGAGTTATTTCCAAGATGCAAAGTTTTAATTAATCAATTAAAGTAATTTTATTTGTTGGCATCACTAGCTCGGTTGTAACGCTGTGTGATAACTCAGGTGTCATTCGACTAAATAAAGGTTCAGAGTTTGTTGTTTGTTTTTTTCAATTTATTTTACGATTTTTTGCCTTGGCGGCCCGCATTCCATGTCTTGGGATGCTACTGTGTATTGGCCAGATAAACATTCAAACAAGTTGTCATACCCAAGTAAAAACTTAAGGATAAATAATTAAATTGTATTCCCGAAATAAATAAAACAACACACAATATTAGCATTTAAATAAATTTAAGAATAACATTCGTTGTTTTTTTTTTTAATCCGAACCTGAAGTTGCTAGAAAAAAAAAAACAATGCTCGTATTAAACGTGAAAGAAAAGTAAGGCTAATTTAAGTCCGTGTCTGGAACAACGATAGACACTCCCATTAAAACATCCATATATTTTCGGCACACATTCTGTCAGAAAATTATTGGGTTCTCAATACAAGACTTATTGCTTTTTAAACGATATGTGCCTTTCGTTTGCCATCGTTACACATCGTCACAAAATGCCAGATCCCCCCCCCACCCCATCTTAATTCTCAAAATTATTCTTTCTCTATGTGTGTCTTCTAAACAACGAACTTTAAAATTTTGACTTAGCTTGATCACCATTCAGCGTAGTTATCAATTTTCAGTACAAAGATAATACGTTTAAAAACAGCTTAAACCAGCATTTTTTTAGAGCACAAAAAGTTGTCGTAACACTTTCTGACCCCCCCCCCCACCACACATTGTCACAAAAGTCTGTAGCATCCATCCACCTAGGCGTGTGACGCCGTTTCTGGATGACCCGTGTCGTAAATAAATGACGTCACACTCGTCATTTATGAGACGGTGTGTGATGAGTTGAGGGGGGGGGGGGGGTCAGATGGTGTGACGTCACACTTTTGCATTATAAAAAAGCAGTGTTATTTCGCGTTTTAGAAAACTGTTTTAATAAACTGTAATAGAAATTGATAAAAGTACTCTATGTTGACAAAGTTCAGACAAGATTTTGGAAAAAAATATAGTATTCTTAAGAAAAATTCAACAGCAATTATGAGGGGGGGGGGGTTTGTAGGCTGAGGTGTGACCTCATTTTAGGGGGGTAGGTCTGGCTGTGTGACGATGTGTGACGGAGGGGTGAAAATTGTCAAAAAAAAAGTGACGTCAATTATGGTTAACCCTTTAGCGTGTTGCGGGTCACAGAAAAAGTGTTGTCTTATAAACCTGTCGTATCCTATAAAAACATTTTACATACATTATCATTAGAATTGTGTGAATATGCAAAAATTCGAAACGAAACTTCTGATGCATCAAGCACATCTTTTTGATTTAAAGATTAATGTTGTTGCTCTACATAAAAAAAAAACGAAAAGTGGGAGCAGTATCCAGATAAAAATTTCGTCATCTTCCTAACTCGAACCAGCCAACGAGTAGAGCCGTCATCTGATTGGCTCTAGTCTTGCCCATGCGTGACACTGGGCGGGCAGTGATCAATGAGGCGATGACACCGTCTGCAGTAGGATGGACGACAACCTCTGATGATGGATCGAACCTTACATGATTGTCTACCCCTGATGACAGATCAAGTCAAGCCTGTAACTAAAACAATGAGAAAAAAATATAGTTGTGGTCAATTTAGAATGACATGACTTTCAACATTGGTGTTTTTATTTTAAACTGCGATGCGTGGGCCCAGTGTTTCTTCCAGACTTTTCTTTTTTCTCCGGGGGGGGGGGGGGGGGGGGCAATATTTTCCGGGGTGCAGACACTGGTAAAATTATGTTTTCTATAAAATTCTATGTCGTTCGGGGGCGATCAGACGCCTGGAAGAAACTCTGCTGTGGGCGAATACACAATTCAAAATAATATTTTTCCCAAATAAAACAAGATGCGAGAAGATGCAGTTTGCTTGTTGTCCCAAGCGTATTTACAGTTGTATGTTGTATAACATATCTTTAAACCAAAAGGCGGCTAATGCTGAGCCTTTTCTTACATTTGTGTTATGTCCAAAAGTCAAGAGAAGATAACTAAGTTTATTTTTAAAACGCTGACAAAATCACTCATAAATATTCACACACACATGATTATATATATATATATATATATATATATATATATATATATATATATATATATATATATATATATATATATGTATGTATGTATGCGTGCAAAGGTACACATCCACCACATGAGTAAACCTTGTCATACAGTGAAAAACGCATCCAGTGATCAGCCGTCAAAACTGACGCCCCTGTTCCCCCCCCCCCCCCCCGTCCCCCCGGTCCCCCTGTCACCACCTCCACGGGATCAGGAGGGGCTCTAGCCCTGACAGCACGCTAGGATCGGCAACAATGACTATATGACCGCCCCACAAATCTTTTTTCGGTCCTTTTTCCTGTTCACCCGTCCGCGAATGGCAGATGTAATTTGTCCTCTCAGATAGCCCGTGTCGTTTTATGAGGCTGACCTACGAGGAGATCGGCGCTGAACACTTGGGTTTCCCTGGAGATGTGCAATTAGTATCTTGTAAGTAGCGGTTTGTGTGTTGGGAGTTGAATGAATGACGGGCTGGTGATCTTGTCAAGGCATGTTTATGTGATATGAGATTGGAGTTTGTTTATTATATCTGTCCACACGTGGAAATAAATTAATTATCAGGTAGAAATTAAAAGATAAAATCTTACTGGTAAAATTAGAAATAGGATTTTAAGGATGTTTTTTTATTAAAGTAAACCACTTTCGGGTAAATACATTAAAAAACAAACTGAAAATATAAAGTAAATTATAATTTGAAACGTTCAATTTTTTTAAAAAGAAATTTATTTTAATATACACCTTTATAAGCATTTTACCACAATAGAAAATTGAGTTTCTCCTTTTTTTTAATTAGAAGGCCTACTTTAAACATTTTAAATGTTGAATTCTAGAGAGACTCAAACTTAGACTTAGTTCCGAAAACAGTAAGAGGAAAACAAGTTATAATTTTAAAACGCTAATTAGTGTATATTACCTTCGTCGGCATTTGGAAAAACAAAAACGACTCAATACATTTTTGTAATGAATAGTGAGGACACTGATTAGAACGCGTCATATAGAAAAGAAGTGCGAGGTATTTGAAGGATGTGAAGTTTTAGCATTTTTGTGGTGTTTAAGTTTAATTTTAAATATTGTAATATCTTTGGACAAATAAAAGGATAAATAGAACCATAAATTACAAATTTTAAAACGGTTTCTTGTAGGAAAAACGGTTTGCTGAAACTTTAAGAGAGATAAAATATTGAATATTGACTTTCAATATACCACATTTAAAAAAAAAACAAACAAAAAAACTACAAACGTCTTTTAAATTTAAGTTACTGAATGAAGTTAACATTTCTGACTAATTCATTTTATAATTTTGTTTTTCAGCTTTGAAGTTGGATTTCTCGGTACTAAATCTCTTTTGTTGGCAACAGTTTGAAAAAAAAATTAGGTCATGAAGACATCAGGTTCCATCCTTAGCCGTATACTGCTGGCTCTTTGCTGTCTGGGTGTTGGCGCCCAGTTCAACAGACGACAATGTGAGTACTGACTTGAGTAACTCTGGAACCTTTGTTTTGTGTGGGGTGTGAGCACAATTTATCGCACAGTCGTATATATTGAATAAACGAATACATTTGGAAAGGCAAAGACGTTTAATATCTAATGTATTCAAGTAGTCGCTGAAATATTTAAAAATTCTCATCTCATGCATTGGTGCAGCGAACACTAGAAGTTGAATAGATCGGGATGGGGGGGGGGGGGATCTTTTTTTTACAGACTTCCTAACTTGTCTGAACTAGCCAACTTTCTATTTATTCTATTGAACAATGAAGCTCTGGGATTAGAATTGTTTCTGCATCTCTTTCCTGACAAGAGTCTATCAACATCTTTTCCTGTTCGTGCCAAAGTCACAAGGGGCAGATGAAGTAGAGTTCATCTGTTTCAGTAACCTCGACATATGAAGGGATAGTTTGGTCAACATTATGCCCAGCCGCCTTTACTTGATAAACGTCTATGACGGTCAGAAACTTTGTCCTATTTTTCCAAAACAGACTCCCCTTAAAAAAAATACAACAACAATAAATGTAGACGATTCTTGGCGTTAAGGTCCACTTCCTCTATCTATTTGATGATCAAATTTCTCAAATGTTATCAACTGTAGTGTAAGCAGAATTTGTTAATACCAACACTTTTTTTCACCAACATTTTTTCTAGACGCGGTCGGCGCACCTGTATCAGGCTCCCAGCTCAATGCTGCCAGATACCAACAGGTAATGTCTATCTTTAGTTGACATGTCTAAGACAAACAGGTGTGCTATATGAATGAGCCCTGCCCCAGGGCGTGGGGGCGGGGCTGGTGACTGGACTAACACCCAGTGAGCGAGAGAGCGACTAAACAAACATTAGAACGTAGATGAGCACGTTCTGGTGACATCATTGACTCACACTGAGTTATGTTTCACAGAGGTTTTCGCGGCCATTTCTGGACGATATAAGTCGTCTGCGCCTGGCCAGTCTACCGGCTTCACAGGTAAATATTTTCTCACAGCTAACAGCTAGGGCCATCCGAGATGTGCTCACAACAAAAGTTAGGCCTTAGCAACGTGTGCTCATATAAAAGTTAGGCCTTAGCAACGTGTGCTCATATAAAAGTTAGGCCTTAGCAACGTGTGCTCATATAAAAGTTAGGCCTTAGCAACGTGTGCTCATATAAAAGTTAGGCCTTAGCAACGTGTGCTCATATAAAAGTTAGGCCTTAGCAACGTGTGCTCATATAAAAGTTAGGCCTTAGCAACGTGTGCTCATTACTAAAGTTAGGCCTTAGCAACGTGTGCTCATTACTAAAAATAGGCCCAAGCAAGGAGCGTTCAGAGTGTTAAGGTCCTCTACCTAAAATCAGGACAAGAAAGGCTTATGTGTCGTCTGTAAATGACGTCACGTCTTTTGCCATTCTTTGTTGTCACAAAACCTTACAGAAGTCTGAACCTTCCCATAAAATGGCGCCACTCTTTGACCTACCCCCCCTCCACCCCATCCCGCCCAAACCACAATTTTCCTGTTTAAAACACACATTTCTATTCTAAACTTAATTACGAGATTAGGCAAACTGCTCACTTTCAATTGACAAAAAATAATTTTTAAATAATATGCGAAATAACTGCTGTTTTGGTTTTTTCTTTTTATAACGAAATTTATGATACCACACGTTTTCTACCTCACGCCCACCCTTGTCTCAAAAATTTGACGCCCCTACCCCATGAATGTGATGCCATTTTTGCAAGGAGCGAATAGACCGAATTAAAGCCTGATTAAAGGGACAATATACAATGTAACCAACCAGACAAGATAGAGTAATATGTTTTTCTGTTGGAAGTTAGGTATCTTTCAATAAACGATTGAAACAAAAATCTGACTTCACTACCTGTTGTAAGTTTGGGGAGTGTTGAATAGCATGGTAGTTTCGGGGACGGCGTGGCCTAGTGGTAGAGCGCTAGACTGTTATACTACTAGACTGCTATCCCGAAAGTCTCGAGTTCCTTTCCTGGTTCAAGTCAGTAGAACGTCCCTGAGTCCACCCAGCTCTGATTACGTTAGGGAAAGTAAAGGCGGCTGGGCGTACTGCTGACAACACTAACCTCTCATATATCGAGGATACAGAAACAGGTGAACTCTACTTCACTTGCCCCATTGACAGTCAGGTTTGAAAAGGGAACCATTATTTCAGGTCATTGAAATAAAGATTCCTGACTATAAGAAAACACCAATTACTGGAAATCATATTTTCAAATACCCTATCTAGAATGTGAAAACAATTTAAAAGCTTGTAAAATTAAAATATTAATGTTCCACACGCTTGCTTGAATATTTTAGACACAATACTGACATTTTTTTCTTTTAATCTTTCAGCTTGTTCCTAGTTTACAGCAATCTATCAAATCTGACAGTAAGTTCAGTCCCTTGTCTTCTCATCATTTGTCTGCCCTTGTGATTTAGCCTTTAAGCAAATGAGCCCCGGCTTAGACTGTAATAGCCGAGGTATTGAGGAAATTGTGTTATAGCCATACGAACAGCGCTCTTGGACGTTGAAAACTTTGATTTTTTAAAAACAGTGTATAAAATAAATTGTTTTAAAAAGTAAGATTTATGCAGGCTATTATTCAGAGCGGTTACTTGTATATTTGGGATGGGGGGGGGGGCATATATATATATATATATATATATATATATATATATATATATATATATATATATATATATATATATATATATATATATATATATATATACTTTCTTCCCGGGGAGGGGCATCCGCAGGGCAGTACTTGAAAGCAAGATACGCCACTGATTTAAAGTAGATATGACAAAATAATTAAACCTCACATTAACAAAAACACAAAACAAAAAAAACCCAGGTTGGAAGCAATAATTTGATGTAGATAATCTAAAGCCATTCTAATTATTTTTTCATGAAAGATTCGAACAAATTTATAGGAGGCAACTTAGTAATTCTGTAATTTAAAAAAAAAAAATAAAAAAAAAATGTTGATTAAACATTTTTTTCATTTTGTTTGTTTCGCAGTTAAAAAAAAATCTCAATCCCATTTGCTGTAAAATATTTTTTTACAAAAATATCAGAATCATGCCACAAAATGACAGAAAATATATCATTAATGTAAATCTATTTAAATATTTACATGTACGAGAATAGCACCGACGTTGAAACGTGCGGTAAATAGACACACCGTTTTAAAAATAGTCGGTTTTTATACGCGCCTACAAATTGGCGGGAAAGGTATCGAGGGAGAGGTAGGAGACGGTCCCTTGAACGAGATAGTGTCATAAATTGTCGCCCCATTAACCTAAGTGTGTTAGCAGACGTCAGGGCTGAGTCTGATGGATGCGAACCTCCAGCCCTGTCAATTTATCCTCGACTTTCAAAAATTCTAAGCCATGCCGTTTTTTTTATTTTTATTTTTTTATTTCAGTTTTTTTAAAGCTGTGCTGTACAATACACACATAATGTAATCAAAGACTTATTTTAAAAGAATTATGAGAATTTTAGATGGGGACATAACAAGCCTTAAAGAAGTAATATACGAAATTTCGGTGAACGGAAAATAAAGAATGTGAATGTAGGAGTTAGTTTATGCATGACTTGACCTTTGAACTTTCAGTCATGACAGTTGAGTTTTTATCTGTTTCCAGCAGGCGACAACGTGCAAGATTTGAGCGCCGCTCGTCTGCAACGGCAGAGACAGAAGTCACTTCTGGAGCAGCAACAGCAGATACAGCTCCAGCTGCGGCAGCTGCAAGACCCGGCTCCTTCAAACCTCGAGCAGCCGACGGTCAATGCACAACGCAGACAGTCACAGCTGCGCCAGCTGCAAGACACGCTAGAGGAACCGCTGACTCAACGCAGACCGTCTGATCTACGTCAGCTTCGAGATCCGAACCTTTCAATGCTAGAGGATCCACTAAAACAGCCACAGCGTAGACCATCTCAGATGCGACAGTTTCGAGATCCGAACCTCTCAATGATAGACGATCAAATGCCACAGTCACAACGTAGGCCGTCTCAGTCTAGACAGCTTCAAGATCCGAACCTTGACGACCCTCTGGTACAAAGTCCACGCAGACAGACCCAACCAAGACAACGCATGTCTCAACAACAGCAGATAAAAGATCAGCGGTACCCCCAGGACGGGCGGTACCCCCAGGACGGGCAGTACCCCCAGGACGGGCAGTACCCCTCACAGTTCGACCAACAGCCCTACGACCAGCCATCTCGGCGTGACCCGTACGACATCCAACAGTCCAGACCACGCCCACAGACGAGGGACTACCCACAACAAGGCCAATACTTTGACCCGCCACGCTCCGAAAGACGCCCATCCCCCTCACAGACCGCCTATGACATGAACGCCAACTCGGTTCAATCCAACTCGGGGGGTTTTGGCCTGCAAGATCAGTCCTACGGCCGAGGGCAGTACATGAACGAACCATCTTTTTCACAAGCTGCTGGCTATGCTCGCGAGAACTTCCTCGCTGGCGGCCCACCCGAGAGCTATCTCACAGGAGGGCCATCTGATGCACTTCTCAGCCGACACCCTCAAGACGCGATGTTCAGCAGAGGTGCGTCTGATGCAGCTTACGGCCGTAGTTCTGCTGATGCAGCAAGTAGCAGAGTATCTGTCGATGCAGGTTCGCCACGAAGCTTCTCCGATTCCAGTCTTACCAGAGCTGATCTTGTTCTAACCAGAACCCCGCCAGCTACGTCACAAGGCGCGTCATCCATGTCTTTGTCAGCTTTTGAATCTCCTGCACAGGGGAGTGTGTTGACCTCTGAACCTCTTCTTGCGCAGCACCCAGCGATGGGTCCCAGCCAGACGGTACAAGATTATCAAGCAACATCCGGGAACCAGGCACAAGTAGGTCAGCAGCTGTCCGCTAGCCAGCAGCCTGCTCCTATGTCTACAGCTCCCGTGGCCTCGACAGCAGGTGTGTCTGTAGGACAGCCGAGCCAAGGGCAGATTACAATGGCGGCAAGTGGCACAGCTCAAGTTGGCTTACAAAACGGCGTTTTATCTGGCCACCAAGACGTGATGGCAGGCCAGATGGGACAGGCAGGAGGAATGGCTGGATATATGGACCAGCATTATAGCATGGGAGGGATGGGAGGCACTGGCATGATGGGAGGCACTGGCATGATGGGAGGCACTCAAGGCATGGGAGGCACTCAAGGCATGGGAGGAGCAGGCATGATGGGTGGAATGCAAGGCATGGGAAATGCTGGGATGATGGGAGGCATGCAGAACATGGGCTATGGCAATCCAAGTGAGTTAGACCACCCATTTAATTAATTCTCTTTACAGCAGTTTAGAATTAAAAAAAAAGGAATTGTAAGAAATGTTAGATTATTTATATATTGCCAAATACATCTTGGTAGAATATAAACAATATATTGACTGATGGAAAAAGATAATTGTACATGCGTCGCCCATAAATGGCGTCAACTTATTTTTTTTAACCCTACCCCCGTCAGCTTTTTTATCTTCGCAAAAAAAAAAAAAAAAAAAAAAAAAAAAAAAAAAACGTAGACCTTCCCCCTGCCCTCTTAAGATTTTTAAAGACGTTTACGAACGATCATTGAAATAATTTTTAACAAATTATGCTAGTAACCACATTTTTATTTTTTAAACATATTGTTTCGTTTTTATCTAACTTTTATTGTGATGTTTTTAAAAATAATATTATTTTGTACTAATATATATGGGTGTAAGGTAAACAATTAGAAATAATATTACCTATAGGAGATTTTCTTTTGGCTTTGTGCTCGTAGTTTTTTCTGGCATCTAGCAAGTCATGTTAAGGCCTAAGCCAGCTTTAGACCTATTTCCTATGCATCTAGCAATAATTTAAAGCTTGGCCAGGTGTTTTTCTTTTTCTAAAAATTCGCTTTTTAATTTTTTTTGTTCATTCATCACTAACGAAATTTACAGGCTAAACATTTATTATTTTAACAGCTGCAACAAGCCAACCTGCCACAGTTTAATCCTAAATAAGCAGCGTCATTTCCCCCACCATCAAGCTTTAATCTGACAGATGACGTAATCATCGTTTGGTCTGCCTCGACTGAAATCGCCTTAACGCGAAGAAATACCAACAAACCAACGCTTGCTATCTGCCATCACTAGCTACTAGATCTAGTTTTCATCGTATCCAAACTCTGTTTACAACAATATATTACTGGCCAGATTTTTAACAGTTCAATTCTATAGTTTAAAAACAAACACTTATTTACGTGCAAAACGTTAAATTATATTTTTCCCCACATTTTTTTTATCTTAACACTATCTAAAAATTAAATATTATTAAAGTTAAAGGAATGTAATATTTATTATAACACTAATTAATTACAGTAGTGCTGGGTAATATTTGTAAAAAAAAATGCCATTCTGTCATAACTCAATTTAGTCCCTCTATTTAAATGAATGTTCGCTGTATTATTCTGGTTGAAATTGTGTTGCCTTTGTATTGACTTTGTCTTTCCATCAACGGATCAACACTGTAAAACTAGTTCAAGAAACGTACCTATGTGTATTTAACTGCTTGACATTGTCTATATATTTCACATTTAAATAATAAAAGTATTTACAACACTTGTTCGTTTAGGTTTTTTTTAAAAAGTTATTTTCTTAGTGTAGTTAGTGGTGGCAGATAGGTGGCTCCGTACTGCAAAAGGTACCCGGTGACTGCTGTTACTATTAGCACTGACCAGAAGTTTGGCTGCCATTTGTTTTTGTTAATTTATGTTTTCTAACACAAATAGTATTTCATCTGGTACCTTTTGAAGTTGGGCAACCGAAGCACCACAACATGCAAACATACAAACACACAAGTACATACACACTTAGATATGTAGGTATGTATATATATAAATATATATATATATATATATATATATATATATATATATATATATATATATATATATATATATATATATATATATATATATATATATATATATATATATATATATATATACGGGGCGGTTTTGTTAAGAAAGCCATTTTGGAATTCAGATCAGTAGTTTGAATGGTTGAAACGGCACACGCTTAGATTAGTTTCTTTTCCGACTGTGAAGGCTTTATAAGTAGCCTAGGATATAGGAAATATGCTATAGGTCAAGATCGTGTTTTAGCCTGCAGTCAAAGTTGGTTTCATGCCCACAACAATGGAAGGATAATTGTATATCATATGAAACTTATATTTGTCATTTTTTTTTTTTTGGGTACCAGGCGTTGCCAGGGAAAGCCACAAACCATTGTCTAGTGTTATATGGCTTTGTTTCGACGAGCTGGTCTAAAGTCGGTAGAATTAACTGCAGTGTCAGGTGATTTTTGCATTAGCAGTTGAATGTGGGCGGCACCCATCCAAACACCTACCTACCATCCACCAAAGTCTAGCTACCATCCACCAAAGTCTAGCTACCATCCACCAACCTACCATCTACCACATCTAAGTACCATCCACTACAGCCTAGCTACCATCCACTACAGCCAAGCTACCATCCATAACCGCCTATATTTGTATGATATATGTGTATGTACGTGCTTTATAAGACGACACGGAGTTACATATTTCACATGATCAAGAGGAGGCTGTTGCGCAACAAAAATTACATTTTCTCTTTAACCAATAGCTAAACTTCATCTCTTCTCGAATGTTCTGGTTTTAATCATTTTTAGTATAGAGCCTTATTTCATGGGTTCTTATTCAAAATGACGCAATCCATATATAGGCCATTCGTTTAATCTAAAAACAAAAATGCCAGCAATATAATACAATCCCCCTTCCCCTCCCGGAAAATGTTCGTCTATAGTCCACACCTTATCAGCCCTCGGTACGCAACATAAAACAAATACATAAACTTCTATACTGGTATTTTGAGCAAGTTCAAAGGTCAGCTATAAAAGGGCAGGAGCGAAACAAAAGTGCAACAGATCTATTTTCAACTCTTCAAAGAAAACGGCACACAGTGGTATTTTAAATTTACATGACCCTTACAGGCACCTGTCTTACCTTTATATAGTCGTGTCAATATTTCGTAACATCCCGCATAAAATGTGGTTTATTTTTAACGTAAATAAAATGAACTCATTTGAACCAGTCTAATTACCGTAAGATCAACTTTCGGGATTAAAAAAAAAACAACCACCAAATGTATGAAATTAAAAGATAAATATGTTGCAAAGTTTACATATTTTAATGGAATTTTTTCTCAGTGATGATGGGAGGAGGTATGCCTGGAATTATGGGAGGTATGCACGGCATGATGGGCGGCATGCACGGAATGATGGGAGGGATGATGGGAGGAATGATGGGCTTTCCTTTTATGGAAATGGAAAGCCCGGACAGTCCAGGTGAGTGAAACAGTTTTTTTTTAAATTTGATTCGTGTACACATCAGACATTATCTAACACTTGACGGACAGAAATTGAGTACAGCATCAGTTGTTGTTCTCGTAAGGAGACACAAGATACACTGCCTCCAGCCCATGATGTGATTGGGTGGTAGAGCGCACGACTGCTAACCAGCAAGCAGTGTTTCTTCCAGACTTTTTTCTCCGGGGGGGGGGGGGGGGCACTTGAAATTTTGGGGGGGGGGGGGCGGTAGACTTTCTTCGGATCCCTGAGTCCACCCAACTCTGATTTAGTTTGGGAGTGTAGATCCAGCTTGCAGAAACTTGAAACCTTTAGATGCCGAGGTCACTGAAAACGATAAACTCTACTTTAATTTCCCTCCACGCCGAAAAAACGAAGAAGGAAACATTTTATGGCCAGGGTTTATGTCTGACATTTTCCTTCAGGGGATATTTTAAATTCCCAGTGGGGCGGAGACTGGTTAAAATATAATTTATCTACCTAAATTATGTATTTTTTCTATTTCTTTCTGGAGGGGGTGGGGAGGAGGAGGAGGGCTTTCTCCAGGTGTGAGGACAGTACACTCAGAAGAGATACCTGAACTCTGTTTACATCCACACGTCGGCTACGATATGTTCCCGACAAGAAGCCTCAGACCAAAGTGCCCCTCATGCTAGAACATGAACTTCTATTTATAGTATCTTGTCACGTGTGTTTCCAGCAATAGGTGGCCAGAAAAAATGTTTTGACTTCCTGTTAGTTGGGACCTGACGAGTCACAGACCACGCATTGTTTTGATTGTAATTTTTCTTCCCAAGATCCCCCACCAGCACCTGCTGCAGCACCAGCACCTGCACCTCAGGCTCCAGCTGTCGCACCTGTAGCTGCCACGCCCCCACCAGTTATGCCAACCCTCGCTACCGTGGTGGTAGTTGCTACAGCTCCACCACCTGTAGCACCAGCTACACCTGCACCAGCTATCGTCCAGCCAACAGCAGCACCGGCAGCCCCTATAGTAGCTGGTAAGTTCAAGGTTATTAAGTTCGCAGGGTCTGCATATTAACTACATCATTACATTGATTAGATACTCAAATTCACTATTCTCACATTGACCAGATTCTCATATTGACTAGATTTTCACATTGACTAGATTCTCATATTGTCTAGATTCTCACATTGATTAGATTCTCACATGGACTAGATTCTCACCTTGACTAGAATATCAACTTGACTAAATTCTCACATTGACTAGATTCTCACATAAACTAAATATTCACATTGACTAGAATCATATTTCGAGTACATCCTCACTCAAACAAGACCTCATGACAAATACTTTCACCTAAAGTCTAATTTAGGTAGATCTATAACTCAGATAACTCAGATAACTCATGTTGTAGCCCAAAGCTTAAGAGCAACAAAACAACATACCCCTGTGTTTACTTTAAAGCCCGACAGATCTTCCTTGTCGTGTGAATGAGTTACAAAAAAAGTCGTGTGTCGTGATAACATTTTCAAACAAACCTTTCTATGAGCGTCCGCCTTACCCCAAACCATGACACGGTGCCATTCAAATGACAGATGCCGTCGTCAGGGTACCGGAAGTCGTTGCCAGTGGTTCTGTCACTGCAGTGAGTGTGCCTGCAGGCCTGTCGCAGGCTGAGATAGACGCGGCAGTGGCCGCTATAACAGAACGTGCCATGCACGCCATGAACCAGGCCATAGCAGCACAACAAGGCGGTGAGTGATTTCTTGTGTGGGGGTGTGTAGGGGGTACAAGAGTGGGGTTTACGTGTGTACGTGGGGGGGGGGTAGGATCAGGGTTGTGCTTGAAGCACGTGCATTTGGTTTGTTTGATTGAATGTCCGTGTTAAATGTATGCGATAGTATGCGTGTGCTAGTGACGTAATTTTTGTACATGTAGCTACATGTGAAGAACAACACAGATGGCCACTTAGACTTTAAACATTAGCTAGAGGGTTCTAGGCATGTGCCTTTATTGGGGGTACTAGAAGAGAATGTACAATTAAAAGGTACAGGGTTTTATTGAGAAGGTACTAGGCCTATGTCTATAAGCCTATTTCAGAGTGTTATAGTTATCTGTCGTGTGCATTGAACAAACGCACATTACGGATCATGACGTCATATCACGCAGTTAGTTAACATTTGAATTCTACTCCTCAGGTGCACCACTATCAGCGGCCCCACCCCCTGCTGGGGTGGCGCCCTTGGCTACCCCAGCCCCATTGGCGCCAGTCATGGTGTAATGGAACCATCTAACCAGCAGTCAAGGTATGATGGAACCATCAAACCAGCAGCAAAGGTTCCTTGTCAGAGAATTATCGTAAACAAGCTGATGTGATGAAGGCAAATTTGTTGAAGGTTTACCTAATACATTATAACTGGCGTTCAGCCATTTTATTTTGTTCTCTAAATTATTAGATAATTTATTATGGTGATTGTTTAGTTAGTGTTATATTATTGTTTAAGACGTTAGTACGGATTTAAGGATTAAAAATCATACACGACCAATTTTTTGTTTTTTTATTTTTTAAATCTTTGTATTAGATTAAATAACTTATTTTTATTTTTGTTGATGAATGACTATGTATGAATAAAAAAAAATGTAATTGTTCGAATTTATAATTTGATATGACACATGCTAGACTTATAACATAATTGATGGAAGCAAACAATAGAACTATCTTTAGATGGTTTCTGAATTTACCCTGGTGTAATGTAAACATATTTAGTGAGTGCTAATGACGATGATGAGGCGACCCACTCCCTCGACTGTCCAGTTATGGAGTCCACAAGCAATGACTGTAATAAATGAATCAATAACTTCATTGTGTATGTCGTCCACTTGACTCTAAAGATAGCAGTGTGTGACGCCATTAGTGAAAACGTTAAGAAACGATACAACATTATAAAGTTAAGCTATTGAGAAGTCCAGAGTAGCTTGAATCTCTGGAAGAATGAAACAAACTTAATTTAAACACGCACTTAAAAATGCACACCTCAATTTAGATGGGGGTTAGCGATATCTGTTGAGACGTAAGTTTGTGTGTGTGTGGGGGGGGGGGGGAGGGGGGGGAGGGGGGTAGAGGGCAAAACGGGCGAAGATTTAATAGGATGTGGACTATTGGGTGCACATACAATTGTTTGTTATCCAATAGACATATTATATTTGTATGATTTGGTAGGAATGTGTGTGTTGATGAAAGTCTCCATGGGTTCGAATCATGTGACATGGAACGCTGAAAAATGTACAGGCCATAAAAAATCAAAACACACTCAGGACCTTCAGTGAAAACCTCAAGAAACAAATACATACACAAAGTAAATGGTGCACTGGTCTTCGGAATATAATCAAGGGCGTATTAACAGTGTAGTAAAAAAGAAAAAATATCATAGGAAAATTTTTTTGAATATTTCTCCCCTTTAAAAGCAGTTTCGTAACGATTTGTTTGTTCTACTTCCTTTACGTTCTAGAACCTACGACCACCGAGGAATATGAATACGAAGGCGAGCTTGTAACCACGACAACAACAGTAGCAACCCCTGTTGCCGTTGTCACAGGTAAGTTCACTAGCTACATACCTACGCCGTGTACACTTTTGGTTTATTGTATGAGGTTTAGAACAACCTAGTTAGGAGGCTTATGTAAACTATTGTACTTTGTAATCATAATATGTAAGTTATTGTAGTTGGTAATCATAATGTGTAAGCTATTCAATAGCTGAAATAGGATTCGATGATGCTAATTATTATTAATTATAAACTTTATTTCAGACTCGGAATGGGGCAATTTTAAATTAGGTGAGCCTAATTGAACATACAAAATGAGTAATGAATTATATTTGCTTATATATATATATATATATATATATATATATATATATATATATATATAAATATATATATATATATATATATAGGTGTGTGTGTCTATTTTTAAAGTGTTTTTTTAAAAATCTGTTCTAGAGGGAATCAACGGAACAATCGATGGTTTGGTGGATCGTATGTCACGTAAGTTAATCGAATCCCATTTTTTATTGTTTTTTCAATTGGAGCTGGGCAAGCGTCTTAAGGTCTCATGATCGTGAACCTAATTCTGTGTGGTCTAACTAACTGACCAGTAGACTTCATATTGGTGTTCTACGGCAACTTAGTTTCCGTAGGTTTCTATTGGTGTCAGTGGTATAGAAGCTTTAGCTGGAGTTGTCACGTGACTTGTGATTAATGAGTTCGTCACCTCTCATGTTAAAATCTTGTCGGACTAAATTTAGGAGAAACGACGACGCGGACTTCCACGACAACCATCCAAACAACAACAGACGAGGAGATGGCTGAAGCCGCCGCGGATTTACAACAGTCAAAGGCACCTGCTGCCACCCCTAAACCTACATTAACAGGTAATGTATACATACATACATACATACATACATACATACATACATACATACATATATATATATGTATGTATATATATATATATATATATATATATATATATATATATATATATATATATATATATATATATATATATATATATATATGTCTGTGTGTGTGTGTGGTGTCTGTGTATATATCTATGTGTGTGTGCGAGCCAGTGTTATGTATATATGGAAGTGGCTGGGTTATAAGGCCTCACAAAGACCTATTAGATCCTCCTGAGCAGGAGAAAAAGTCATTGCTATTTTGTTAGTGACATTAAGGATCTCACCTTTATGGCTAGGCTTAAGCCGTGCACAGCTTGCTCTAATCATTGACTGAATGTGATCTCCTGATTACGTTTTCTTTCAGAAGTGTTAAACAGTTTACCTGCTGAAGACAGAACGTTTTTCTTGGAATATTTCGACACATATAACAGGCTGAGAAATTTTGGTAACTCGTGTTCTGGGATACATTAAAGTACAAAGCACTTATAATTGTAAACATCATCAATATCTTTCTATTTTGTGCCCAAGACACATGGGGCCGCCACAGAAAAAATGTTTTCACTTTAGCCGGTCTTAAGTAATTTTCTCCCAAAATAGTCCCGCCTTTGTCAATTGCTTTTATTGCTGTGCGCCTCCCTTGGCCTTCAATGTTTACTTTTTAAAAAAGAATCCAGTTAAGCGTCATTCTTTTATAAACATAATGCTTGTGAAAAGAATTTAAAAAAATGAATATAATTATCTATCACTTTGAAGATTATCTCCCTTTACAATCAAACAATTTAATGATGGGACTGAATCAAACTAAATTCATGGACCCTTAAAATTATGCGAGATATTATCTTTTTTGTTTCTTTTTTTAACATTGATAAAAAGCATGTCAATCAAATGGTTTGATGAATATTTCATATTTTTTTCAGATTATCAGCTATAAACAAGTATAGCTTTCACCTGAAACAGTGTATTTAACAGCTAGTTCAACATTGTAGCTAAGGCAGGTCAATTGAGTTCTGATCACACCACAGAGACAACATTCGATGTACACAACCCACAAATATATCTGGGGCAAGGAGATATCTTTTTATGACTGAATTTATTGTTGTGTGTAATAACCCAAACTGAACAAAGTTGACAGTCTGGGTTAATTCCCTTTATGCTTTAGAAAGTGGTAAAACACTGGCGTCTAACAAGTTAATTGTTTATATTGTTTATTATTATTATTATATTGTTGTTCTAATATTGCTGGTGTTTAGTAGTGTCCAGCTATGTTGGGTTTGTTCAACTACAGTTCTTTGTAACTTGTTCACTGATGTTGATAGGGAGATTGCTAGAGTAGGGGCGTATACGTTAACTTTGGGAAATTGGATGTTTTATTTAAGGTGGAAGTTATTTTTAGGTGTTGTATTTTAAAGGGAAGTTATTTTAGGTGTTAATATATATGATTTGTGATGATTTTTTTATGTCTATTGATATTGACGTTTATTCCTCTTGCTATGAAACCTGCTGTAGCTGATGTCCAAGCTCAAGTTTTAAATATATCCTTTGTGTAATCAAAGAAAAGATAGTCTTAATTAACAATATCTTGGAATGTGAAAAATGGTCCATGTTTTTTTTTTTTTTTATTCTGATCTCAACAACACTTTTGTTGTTCATTAGGCAAGTATTTTTTGTTGATGAATGGTATATGAGTAATGTTAATAAGTTAATAAGTCAGGGGATATTTAAATCTTTATACTGAAATTAAACTCTATTTAAAAATTGATGAAATTGGTTTAACAACTGCTGTTTTTTTTTAAAATTAATTTTTTGTTTAATTATTTTTTAATACTTTAGTATTATGTATTTTAGCCGTATTAATTTTTGTACTTTAAAATTCTGGAATATAGGGGATCTTTTAATCTTTTATTGTTTTTTTTTTACATTTGCATAATTTACTAAATAAAATCTTTTTAAATATATTAAAAAAATGTTTTTTGGTTCATTTTGAAATTTTTTAAAAATGCAATATTTTAAATTCTAATGCAGATATGATGAAATCGTGTGGGTTGTATAGTATTCATAAGCTTTAAGAATCTATTAAAAAAATAAAAGAGTGCGGGATTGTCCTTTGTTAGGCTATTTATTAGTCATTTAAGAATTAATAAGTTATAATAAATATAAAATATACAAAAATTATTTATTATTAAAAATCCAGCTGAACGTGACAGATCATCTCATTGGGTACAACATGTGTAACATATCATTTCTTACAACACATGAAACACTCTATTTTATTGGCTGCAGTTTGTGTAACACCTCATCTCATTAGTTACAATACATTTTGTGAATCTCCAAATCCCGAAGAAGTGTAAACATCTTATCACACTGTGGACATGAATAAGGCAGTGTTTGATTCCTGTTGGTGTGGGTGGATAGATTGTTTCTGCTTTCTCCTGAAGAAACTCTACCTGATAATTCAAAGATATTTAGAATATCAACACTAGGCGTCATGTTTTATACAGATAGAAATATATTTCAGTACTTTTATTTTTTATCAGTACATCTTTAAAGAGTGGCAGGAGACTGTTAAGGAGTGGAAAGCTTTGATGGGGATAGGGGGGGGGGTTAATGGCAAGGGGTAAATACCAAAGCAGGGTGTGTTAATGTCCTGCTCCCCAGCAATGCAGATACCTGTAATGACCCTTGACATTAACATATCCTACTTCTGACCCTTGACATTAACATATCCTATTAATGACCCTTAACATTAACATATCCTATTAATGACCCTTAACATTAACATATCCTACTAATGACCCTTAACATTAACATATCCTATTAATGACCCTTAACATTAACATATCCTACTAATGACCCTTAACATTAACATATCCTATTAATGACCCTTAACATTAACATATCCTATTAATGACCCTTAACATTACCATATCCTACTAATGACCCTTAACATTAACATATCCTACTACTGACCCTTAACATTAACATATCCTACTAATGACCCTTAACATTAACATATCCTACTAATGACCCTTAACATTAACATATCCTATTAATGACCCTTAACATTACCATATCCTACTAATGACCCTTAACATTAACATATCCTACTACTGACCCTTAACATTAACATATCCTACTAATGACCCTTAACATTAACATATCCTACTAATGACCCTTAACATTAACATATCCTACTACTGACCCTTAACATTAACATATCCTACTAATGACCCTTAACATTAACATATCCTATTAATGACCCTTAACATTAACATATCCTATTAATGACCCTTAACATTAACATATCCTATTAATGACCCTTAACATTAACATATCCTATTAATGACCCTTAACATTAACATATCCTATTAATGACCCTTAACATTAACATATCCTACTACTGACCCTTAACATTAACATATCCTACTAATGACCCTTAACATTAACATATCCTATTAATGACCCTTAACATTAACATATCCTATTAATGACCCTTAACATTAACATATCCTACTACTGACCCTTAACATTAACATATCCTACTAATGACCCTTAACATTAACATATCCTATTAATGACCCTTAACATTAACATATCCTACTACTGACCCTTAACATTAACATATCCTACTAATGACCCTTAACATTAACATATCCTATTAATGACCCTTAACATTAACATATCCTACTACTGACCCTTAACATTAACATATCCTACTACTGACCCTTAACATTAACATATCCTACTAATGACCCTTAACATTAACATATCCTATTAATGACCCTTAACATTAACATATCCTACTAATGACCCTTTACATTAACATATCCTATGAATGACCCTTAACATTAACATATCCTACTTCTGACCATTAACATTAACATATCCTACTTCTGACCCTTAACATTAACATATCCTACTTCTGACCCTTGACATTAACATATCCTAAAAATGACCCTTAATATTAACATATCCTACTAATGACCCTTAACATTAACATATCCTAAAAATAACCCTTAACATTAACATATCCAATTAATGACCCTTAACATTAACATATCCTACTAATGACCCTTAACATTAACATATCCTAAAAATAACCCTTAACATTAACATATCCTACTAATGACCCTTAACATTAACATATCCTATTAATGACCCTTAACATTAACATATCCTACTACTGACCCTTAACATTAACATATCCTACTAATGACCCTTAACATTAACATATCCTATTAATGACCCTTAACATTAACATATCCTACTACTGACCCTTAACATTAACATATCCTACTACTGACCCTTAACATTAACATATCCTACTAATGACCCTTAACATTAACATATCCTATTAATGACCCTTAACATTAACATATCCTACTAATGACCCTTTACATTAACATATCCTATTAATGACCCTTAACATTAACATATCCTACTAATGACCCTTTACATTAACATATCCTATGAATGACCCTTAACATTAACATATCCTACTTCTGACCATTAACATTAACATATCCTACTTCTGACCCTTAACATTAACATATCCTACTTCTGACCCTTGACATTAACATATCCTAAAAATGACCCTTAATATTAACATATCCTACTAATGACCCTTAACATTAACATATCCTAAAAATAACCCTTAACATTAACATATCCAATTAATGACCCTTAACATTAACATATCCTACTAATGACCCTTAACATTAACATATCCTAAAAATAACCCTTAACATTAACATATCCTACTAATGACCCTTAACATTAACATATCCTATTAATGACCCTTAACCTTAACATATCCTACTACTGACCCTTAACATTAACATATCCTACTAATGACCCTTAACATTAACATATCCTATTAATGACCCTTAACATTAACATATCCTACTACTGACCCTTAACATTAACATATCCTACTACTGACCCTTAACATTAACATATCCTACTAATGACCCTTAACATTAACATATCCTATTAATGACCCTTAACATTAACATATCCTACTAATGACCCTTTACATTAACATATCCTATGAATGACCCTTAACATTAACATATCCTACTTCTGACCAAAGCCGGCGTTAGGGGGTGGCGAACGGGGCGGCCGCCCTAGGCCCCGCGCTTGAAGTGGCCCCGCGCTTCAGCACTGTCATTGTTATCTGAATTAGTTTGTAAACTTAAAAAAAATTGTTGCTGAATTCAATTGGGAAAAACTAAATGGTCGAATGCCGACGTTGTTGATTGTTATAACTGAGGCCACGGTTGATGTTGGTGAGTCCCACCTGAACTGGGACAGGCCGTAATTCGATACAAAAATAGTGTCACACTGGTGTCGCGCTTAGCCACTACCCGAAGAATTGCATTAAAGAAATTGCAAGAAAACCACTTTTTAGATTAGACACATTAATTAGGCGGTAATTTTATTATAGAGTATCGATGAAGAAATTTTTTTTTTAGTTGGGGAGGGGGGGGGGGGGGCTCAGACGTTCTTACGCGGAGGGTGGGGCTTCGCCCCTACCCGAAGAATTGTATGCAAGAAACTCTTCACGCAAACCATTTAGATTAGACAAAATTTCCTTTTTATTCAATGTTTACTCGAGAATAAATAACGTCATATTACTGTGTGCACTCTCCGGTTTGAGATTATTTTCTACTCTAAGCTAAATGTGACCGCGTCATACTTCGTTTTTCGAATTACTATGCATGTTTTTAATTTTCTTGTGTTTTCTCTAGAGCGTTCTTGTCAGACAGATAGATACATAGATAGATAGATAGATACATAGACAGACAGCGAAACTATTAGTATTAATAGACGAGAAAAATGGCCCGTTGAGGAAGGATACAACGGGCGCTAGGGTGATAGTGCTGTCTCTTTTCTCTAAACTAAAACCACCCCACCCCCCCCCACCCCACCCCCCCAAAAAACATGTCTACCGTCCCATTCAACGAAATATAATTATATACTTTTTCCAGTGTCCGCCCCCTCCCCGAAAATTCTACTCCCGCCCCCGAAAATTTCAAGTACCCCCACCCCTCTCCGTGGAGGAAAAAGTCTGAAAGAAACACTGGTGTCGCGCTTAGCCACTACCCGAAGAATTGCATTAAAGAAATTGCAAGAAAACCACTTTTTAGATTAGACACATTAATTAGGCGGTAATTTTATTATAGAGTATCGATGAAGAAATTTCTTTTGAGTTAGGGAGGGGGGGGGGCTCAGACGTTCTTACGCGGGGGTGGGGCTACGCCCCTACCCGAAGAATTGTGTGCAAGAAACTCTTCACAGCAAACCATTTAGATTAGACAAAATTGCCTTTTTATTCAATGTTTACTCGAGAATCAATGACGTCATATTACTGTGTGCACTCTCCGGCTTGAGAATGTTTTAATGTTTTCTACTATATGACGTCATACTTCGTTTTCGTTTCACTCTGAGAGTTTTTAATTTCCTTGTGTTTTCTCTAGAGCATTCTTGTCAGACAGATAGATAGATAGATACACAGATAGATACATAGATACAAACAGCGAAACTATTAGTATTTATATATATATATATATATATATATATATATATACATATATATATATATATATATATATATATATATATATATATATATATATATATATATATATATATAATGGAAAGGCCCCGCGCGGATGGTTGGCCCTAGGCCCCGCGTATTCCTAACGCCGGCTCTGCTTCTGACCATTAACATTAACATATCCTACTTCTGACCCTTAACATTAACATATCCTACTTCTGACCCTTGACATTAACATATCCTAAAAATGACCCTTAATATTAACATATCCTACTAATGACCCTTAACATTAACATATCCTAAAAATAACCCTTAACATTAACATATCCAATTAATGACCCTTAACATTAACATATCCTACTAATGACCCTTAACATTAACATATCCTAAAAATAACCCTTAACATTAACATATCCAATTAATAACCCTTAACATTAACATATCCTAAAAATAACCCTTAACATTAACATATCCAATTAATGACCCTTAACATTAACATATCCTACTAATGACCCTTAACATTAACATATCCTAAAATGACCCTTAACATTAACATATCCTAAAAATGACCCTTATCATTAACATATCTTACTTCTGACACTTAACATTACCATATCCTACTAATGACCCTTAACATTACCATATCCTACTTCTGACCCTTAACATTACCATATCCTACTAATGACCCTTAACATTACCATATCCTAATTCTGACCCTTAACATTACCATATCCTACTTCTGACCCTTAACATTACCATATCCTACTAATGACCTTTAACATTAACATATCTTACTTCTGACCCTTAATATTAACATATTCTACTAATGACCCTTAATATTAACATATCCTACTAATGACCCTTAACATTAACATATCTTACTTTTTTTGTTCAGGTCTTTGACACTTAGAGCACCCAATGCTTTTTTCATCTGTGTGTAGGCGCCATTGGGTGTTGCATTAACAGGGGCCATCACTGCGCCCAGCTTGCCACTTGGTGGTCGAGACTTTATTGAGAGTGACTTCCCTTTAAGGAGAGAGTCTGGCGGCCTCTCAGTACTGTGGTTGTTGTTAGAATTTAAAAATCCATGCCCAATTAAAAATTCAGGACTAGCTGCTGGTAAAATAACATCTCCACCCACTGGATTCTCATTTTCCCAAGCTAATTTTTTCATTTTGGGGATTTCAAAATTTTCCTCTTTTAAATTTGCTGAATTCAGTGTTTGTCTGTAATGTTAAAAAGTGTAGCTGTTGTATATTCAATTCAGCAATCTATTGATAAGACTTTTGGTAATCACAGTAATAAAGATGATAATGCATATTAAAAAAAGTTTAAAAATATGATCGTTACTGAAGAAAATCACAAAGTAAACAATAAGAATCACTGAAAACTAAAGTCAGCTCAGGTAAGATGTGAAGGTTTGTAGGCCTAATATAATAAAGCTGGGACTAAAGAGTGTAAATATGTACAAAAGAATATATTTGAACATCCTAATTTGTAAAACTTTCTTTTCTTCATTGACATATCTTAAAAGTAGCAGAAAAGATAATATAACTTTTTTAAAGTTCATATTTAAAAATAATGATATCTACAGTTGGTTTTCCTTAGGAAGTGCATCAGTCAAGCAAGTTATTTCTACTGTGATAGCCACTTACTTTTGAGGTATGGCAAAAACACTAGGGGCAGAAAGAGAGATATTTCCTATACACATTATGTACCCAAGAGATAATTCAGTTCATTCTCCTTTGTAGCTTTTGTTTAAAGAAAATAAGAGACCAGTGCTCAAGTTAAATGGGTTTATAAAAAAAGTTGGCTGGCAAAATTAAAACACTAAGTGCAGATGATAAAATTTAAAAAGTTTATATGGATGGCTAGAGGTAGTGTGGATTGTAATGTGATGTCATTGAAAAGAAAAAGGGAGTAAATACAGTTTGATGCTACACTGGTGTTAATCATTATTAAGTTTTTCTTCTTACTTCCCTTTAACTGTGAGTGTTGATAATTTAACAGATAATCTCTGTAAACTAACCTGTATGAGTGCTGTTCTCTCAAGCTTGGCATCCTGTCAATGTTGGAGCCAGCATTAGCAAAAGTTTCTTGGTGCCACAGTGGCTCGGGCTTGATGGGAAATTCATTGGGTTCTTCCTATTGGTAGAAACTAAGGAAATTCATTGGGTTCTTCCTATTGGTAGAAACTAAGGAAATTCATTGGGTTCTTCCTATTGGTAGAAACTAAGGAAATTCATTGGGTTCTTCCTATTGGTAGAAACTAAGGAAATTCATTGGGTTCTTCCTATTGGTAGAAACTAAGGAAATTCATTGGGTTCTTCCTATTGGTAGAAACTAAGGAAATTCATTGGGTTCTTCCTATTGGTAGAAACTAAGGAAATTCATTGGGTTCTTCCTATTGGTAGAAACTAAGGAAATTCATTGGGTTCTTCCTATTGGTAGAAACTAAGGAAATTCATTGGGTTCTTCCTATTGGTAGAAACTAAGGAAATTCATTGGGTTCTTCCTATTGGTAGAAACTAAGGAAATTCATTGGGTTCTTTCTATTGGTAGAAACTAAGGAAATTCATTGGGTTCTTCCTATTGGTAGAAACTAAGGAAATTCATTGGGTTCTTCCTATTGGTAGAAACTAAGGAAATTCATTGGGTTCTTCCTATTGGTAGAAACTAAGGAAATTCATTGGGTTCTTCCTATTGGTAGAAACTAAGGAAATTCATTGGGTTCTTCCTATTGGTAGAAACTAAGGAAGTTCATTGGGTTCTTCCTATTGGTAGAAACTAAGGAAATTCATTGGGTTCTTCCTATTGGTAGAAACTAAGGAAATTCATTGGGTTCTTCCTATTGGTAGAAACTAAGGAAATTCATTGGGTTCTTTCTATTGGTAGAAACTAAGGAAATTCATTGGGTTCTTCCTATTGGTAGAAACTAAGGAAATTCATTGGGTTCTTCCTATTGGTAGAAACTAAGGAAATTCATTGGGTTCTTCATATTGGTAGAAACTAAGGAAATTCATTGGGTTCTTCCTATTGGTAGAAACTAAGGAAATTCATTGGGTTCTTCCTATTGGTAGAAACTAAGGAAATTCATTGGGTTCTTCCTATTGGTAGAAACTAAGGAAATTCATTGGGTTCTTCCTATTGGTAGAAACTAAGGAAATTCATTGGGTTCTTTCTATTGGTAGAAACTAAGGAAATTCATTGGGTTCTTCCTATTGGTAGAAACTAAGGAAATTCATTGGGTTCTTCCTATTGGTAGAAACTAAGGAAATTCATTGGGTTCTTTCTATTGGTAGAAACTAAAGCTGTGTAGTTTACTCACAAATAAATGCTGAGTTTTAATCATGTGTAGAACTTATTATTTTAACTTTTTCATACCAAGTTGTATGTCTAATCAATATGAAGCAAAATGAAACCTGCAATAAGCTTTTATTTAATTTTAAACTTTCTTATTTATAGAGTGTAGGGAGAATTATTGAAATCATCAAAATACCTAAATTGACATTTTCACTTTCATTAGTTGGAAATATCAGGTTATATAATTTTGTCAACATGTTTGTCTGTCTAAATGTCAATGTGTATGTGTGTATGTTTATCAACATGATAGCTTGAATACCATTTCAGTTAGGTGGATGAAATTTCATATTTATGTATTAAATCCTATTTGCAGGTTTCTGTCTTATGAGTGATTTCTAGTAACTGCAAGTGATACTTTATTTTTGTTTTCTCAGAAACCTTCAGCATTTGATAATTTTATATCCTATTCTATTAAAGCATTATATTCTAAGGATGTATACCTTTATGTGTTATCTTGTAAAAATATGCAGTTTTGTCACAAATGTGCTTACAATTTCAATAGCCTTACTCAACAATTGAAGAAACATCTGAGAATATACTTAAGCAAGTTCAGGGGAACTAACTCCCACTTTATCTACCAGTTGACAAGTGTACTGACCTTGTAGTTGTTCTGTAGGTTTGAGATTTTCTTCACTGACTGGGCCAGGCTCTCATTCTGTTCCTCCAGCAATCTGATCCTGGTTCTGTTGGCTTTAATCTGGTTCCTCATGTCTGTGGCAATGTCTCCAGACCCTGCACAAACATAGGACACAATGAAAACAATAAACAGCTTGATCCCTTAGCATGGATAAAATGAAATAATAAATGCAGTTAGCTCCCTTATATAGGCCATAATGATTTCTTTAAATGCAGTGTACTGCCTTATATGGGACATAATGAAAACAATACAGCTCCCTCTCAAAGCTTATATAGGAGGCAATGAAAAAAATAAATGAAAACTCAACACTTTTTAATAAAAAGTAAAAATAAGAAAAATTATCATAGACAGTATTACATGAAAATAAAATGTATCAATGAAACAAATCTTTAAAACAAATCACTAAAAATTTACTTTTTTTTTTTTATAAAAATTGTATAGAGCAAAATAAGCAAAATGTTTAGTTTTCTTACTACTGTAGTAAATTTGAATACAATTTCAGTTTTTTGGTTTTGTGCTGTCCTTACCATGAAGGTCAGAGTTGACTGGGCCATTTAGATCTGGATACTCCACTATCAGCCTCTCTCTCTGTTTGGCTTCTTCCAGTTCTGATGTTAAGGCACTCACAGACTCCTGCGCTGCTTTCACAGACTTCTCTAGTTTTTTCTTCTCTTTTTCAAGGTTTTTTATAATCACCTATATAATGCAATGGATATAAACATTTAACTGTAGCATTCATTATATTGTTTTAATGCTATTATTCAATGCAATCAGTTTATACTTTGAAAAGTCCTCAATGAAATCTAATACATTTGTTTTTTACTTTTTTAATTGAATTCTTAGTTATTTTTAACTTTCTAATCTTGCATTTTATTATCGTGTTATGTCTGTTTCCCGCTTAATATTTTATTACTTTTTAAATATTTTATTACTTCAAAGCAATAAGCAAATTATAATTCATTTTCATTTAGCCACCATAATAAATAAAATTCCCTTAGTCAGGTACCCTTATAAGCTGAGTAGACTCAGTGATTTCATACAGACAGGAACCTATACAACACCAAAAGCTTTTAAGTTCTACTTCATATTCTGCAGCAATAACCTTATTTTCTTTCAGCTTTTGCTTTAGCTCTTTGGTTTCTACTTTCAGCTCAGTGAGCTTATTCTCCAGGGCTAATTTTTCCTCTTCAATATCAGCAACTTGTGATGAAAACTCTTCATTGTTTTGTCCCAGCAAGCTCATCTTAGATAGCAGGGCTTCTTGCTTGGCTTGTAGAGACTGGTCATGGAATGTAAATAAATATTGTTTGATTAGTGTTTTTAGAGAATTGACTGGTTAAAATAGTTAAACAATCAATAAAATGTAACTGGATATTTCTGTTAAAATTTTAGTGAGATACAAATGTCCATTTGTGATGAGTGGAATCAGGGCAATCTTTGATGAAAGGTCAAGGTTAAAGCTTAATTAAACATTTATAAAAGTAATTTTCATAATATGTTATATTTGGACGTTTGGAGCAAAGATGTGTAGAATTGATAACATAAGGATAACCTTCTCAACTATTCCCATCCTCCTATATAAAAGAAAAGGTAGGAAAAGTCTGCACAAGGTTACTGCCTCATCAGCTATTGAAAAATTAATGTGTTTTTGTAGTTGTAAAATCTTTATAATTAAGATCATGTAACACAAGTGAGTTTTTTTTTAACTTGATGGTCAACAACACACTTGGTATAGGTGTATTCACTAAATAGTGACCTAAATTGTTTGTCCATCTTAAGATCTGACTTACCTCATTATGCTTGCTGAGACTTCTGCTTTTGCCCTGTTCTTTAGCCAAAGCTTTCTGGTAGCCAATCATCTGTGCTGTTACATCAGACAGTTGGGTCTTCAGGTCAATCATCTCTTCTGCCAGTTGTCCAGCCTTCTCAGCCTCTCTGGTTTTCTCCACCAACTCAATCTCAAGAACTTTAAAGCCTGTTTCTTTAATTCATAAAATACAAAGATTTGTATAAAGGAGTTACTCACTTTTAGTTAAACAAGCAAAAATGTATAGGCTAAAATAAAGTAAATATATTTTTGCTAAAAAATAAATAATTAATTGTTTAAAATTAATTACAATCACTTATAAAAAATTTAACTATACTGAAACAAATGTTAAAAAAAGAAAAATAAATAAAATTAGTTCCAAAATGACACAGCAAATAGGCTACTTAACAAAAAGTTAACACTTTAGTTATTAATCAATCAAATATTTAGTTTAGCCTCTAACCAAATCAATATAAATCTATAGAAGGTATAGTGTAGCCTCTAACCAAATCACTATAAATCTATTGAAGGTATAGTGTAGCCTCTAACCAAATCACTATAAATCTATTGAAGGTATAGTGTAGCCTCTAACCAAATCAATATAAATCTATAGAAGGTATAGTGTAGCCCCTAACCAAATCAACATAAATCTATAGAAGGTATAGTGTAGCCTCTAACCAAATCAATATAAATCTATAGAAGGTATAGTGTAGCCTCTAACCAAATCACTATAAATCTATTGAAGGTATAGTGTAGCCTCTAACCAAATCACTATAAATCTATTGAAGGTATAGTGTAGCCTCTAACCAAATCAATATAAATCTATAGAAGGTATAGTGTAGCCCCTAACCAAATCAACATAAATCTATAGAAGGTATAGTGTAGCCTCTAACCAAATCAATATAAATCTATAGAAGGTATAGTGTAGCCTCTAACCAAATCACTATAAATCTATAGAAGGTATAGTGTAGCTTTTAACCAAATCAATATAAATCTATTGAAGGTATAGTGTAGCCTCTAACCAAATCACTATAAATCTATTGAAGGTATAGTGTAGCTTTTAACCAAATCAATATAAATCTATAGAAGGTATAGTGTAGCCTCTAACCAAATCAATATAAATCTATAGAATGTATAGTGTAGCTCTAACCAAATCAACATAAATCTATAGAAGGTATTGTGTAGCCTCTAACCCAGGTTCTTCATGTCTTTCATTTGTTCATTCAGCTGCATCCTCACATCAAACAAATCTTTCTCAATGTTTTCTTTCTCGACAATCACAGATTCCTTTTTTTTAGTCTCCACTTCTAGTTTTTGCTGGTATTGCTTTTCAGTTTCTTTCAATTTGCTCTAGAATAACAACATAATGTTTTTCTAAAGGGGTGTTATTTTACATTTTAAGAAGGATGTTAATTTTCTAAATGTACTGAATAACAAATTTTCACAATGTCATTTTTAAATAGGATCAAACTTTAAATTGGATATCCTTACTTAGCTATAATACTAAGTAATAATTAGTAATTAAGCAATGACAGTTTTAGTAGCTAAGGCAGTTAAATGGAAGAAGGAGAGATCACAAATGGACAAACTCAACAAACTTGTAACATACACTAATGACAAAAATAGATACATGTAAGTAGGTGGTGATTTAAATTATAAGAAGAAATAAAAATTGGCCTAGAGTAAAACTGTAGGCTACACAAACTATGTGTTTGTTAATACAGAGAAAGATGGCAGAAAAGTATGAGAAACCACCTGTGGGGGACAATGACCCCAGGGGTTAAGGGACGATTGATATTTAGAATAGTTTTATTATCAATATTTTAGAAAATGGAGAAGACAATTTTTTGTACATAGACCTATCTATGTAAGCGCGCTCCCTACCACCCCCATCCCTACATGGTCTGGTGAGCTGTTGTTCATGCTAAATGTTTACAATCGTAGAGCCGGGTTTAGTGACGGCTATTAGGGGCAGATAATTTAGTTTGAAACTATTTTAAACTTAGGGGAGGTAACTAAGAGGAGTTTACTTTCACAGGGGGTGGGGTGAGGGGTGGGGTAGGGGTTTGGGAAAGGAGGGGGGTTATCATCCTTAACAAGCTACTGATAGTGTTTTAAAGCAAATATTTTCAGTGGCAGCGTTGGTACTGTCGAATTCACAAATTATGAATTACTGAAAAGTAGAAAATAAAACAACTAAATAGCGGCATATGATACGCCGCAGGTCGGCTCGTATATAGAATTATGTATTGAAAGATATATTCCAATCAAAGTTAAATCACGTAAAAGTATTTCTGAATTTAATATTAAATGGTAATATAACATAAATGAATTAAAATGAATATGAGTTATAAAATTAATTTATACCTCAAAATGTTTACAGCGAAACGTTATATTTTCTTTCTCTTCCAAAAATTTATTTTCAAACGATAAAAATTTTTCATCAAAATTTTTTACTTTCTCCTCAGCTTGCTTTAACTCTTCTTTCAGCGGCTTCACAGTTGCTTGTAAGATTTCATTCTGCTTAGCTATCCGAGCTATGTCCTTATTTTGCTCAGCCATCCACCTACACACATCACTGAATGTTAACAACTCAACATGTATGACTTGATTTTTGAACTTCTTCAATGAACACGGCAGTCCTTGGTCTATACAAGACTTTATGACAACTTCACTCCCTTCCCGCATTTTTTTCTGAATTAAGTCACATGTTTCACACGGGACAAATGCTGTCTCGTACGTCTGACAGGATTTATTGCTCATGTCTTCAGATATAGTGTGGACGAATTTTTTCTCTGGAACTGGTGATGCCCCCTGACTAACCAAATCAGCATTATTAGGGGGAACTATTCCGACTGTGCCAGGGGTAGGGTTTAGATTAGCTATCCTGCTGTAGCTTGGATTATGCGGTCTTTCACTTCCTTTTTCAAACTCTACAATCTTATTTGTTTTGGATTTATTCTGAAATTTTAAAAAATATTTTAAAATTACAAATACAGCACATTTATTTTTAAATTGATATTTTCAATTATTATGCAGGCTAAATGATAAAGTGGAAGAAAAGAACAGAAAACACACACATACTATTAAATATTTCATTTTGATAATTATGCATCATGTGTTTTAGTTATTATTATTATGTGTACAAAATTAATATCTCTAGATTTGTATTCATTAAATACACACCTCTGACTGCAGCTGTTGAATAAACATGTGTGACTTCATTAAATGTGACCAGTATTGTTTGGCTACTATGCCCACAGAGGAGGAGGAGCTATCTACACTATTTAGTTCTGGAAAATGCTTTTGTTTCCCACCATGTATCTGCATTTCCATAAACTCTGCTGTAGTTTGCAACAGGAAAACTAACCTGATGAATACATTGAAACATATGTTAAATGGCACATTTTATTACACTTTACAAGCAATAAAATGGAATAAATCATCAAAGAGGTCATCATGAGTATCACTACACTATACTGGCAGGGGAGGGAGTCTCATTTTGAGTGATGATGTATTATGTGTATGTGTGGGGGAGGGGGGGAGATAAAAAAATGTGGCATTACATACATTACATATTTTCAAAAATGACAAGATGTACATTTTTATGATATATGAGGGTAGTTTAAATTAGAGGAATATAAAAATCAACTAAAATAGTCTGATATCAATTAATATAGATGAGCTTGCAGCCATTTCTACAATATACATTAAGTATGAACAAGATAAATAAGTTGTAATGTTATAATATGTAAGTTCTAAGTCATAATGAAAAGTAGAATTTGTAGAGAATTATTATTAAAAACATTCCCACCTGTCAATGACCAACTCATATAAAGCAATGTGTGCCACTTGCTTATCTTCCATTTCATCACTGGTATCAGTACTGTACAGGTCAAGCAGGTCATCTATATCTAAGTCACATGCTTGCTGATCTGGGAATTTCCAGGAATGGTTTGGAAGAGGACCCACTCTAGAGATTATTTCTCGAATGGTCCATTGTAAGTCCCTAACATCTGTCTGCAGGCTCTCAATGTACGCCTGGTTGCCCAGCATATAAGCCATTTTATTTCAGCAGCAAACTGGAAGTATAGATAAACAAATTAGAAGGGGTGTCAGTGTGGTTGGGCCAGTAAAGCTCAAGGTTGCTAAACCAAAAAGTGTTGAGTTCAAACACCCCACCCCTTTTGAGAAGAAAAGACTTGATAGCCGAGGACAGTAACCCAAAGGATCTAGGAGAGTAAACTCCAGAATTATGCAACTGATGCTTTGCAGTTCAAAATTGTTCTTGGCTATGCCTATGGTCATGGAATATGATGGATGGAAGTAAATCCAGAAAGAAAAGCAGGCTGAAATCAGAGTCAACTGGAGTAGCAGGCCCTTTAAATTGTTTATTTTAATTAATTAAGTTGATATTTATTTAATAATATGCTTTTTACTAATACTCTAATTTTTATAGGTCTAAGTATTAATATATTATTATGTCGCTAACAGTTATTGTTTGAATAAAAGATTAGGCCTTAAATTTAAAATTAATTTACAATAATAAATAATTAAATAAGCCTAACATTTTTTTTTAAACAAGTAGGGGCCTAACTAGTAACATTTACTAACTATTTAGATCCAGATTTTAGTAAAATAGTAAAATTATTCAAATTAAAATTAATAATTTAAAATAATATTGAATTGTATTAATTACTAAATTAGGCATTAGATGATTAGGCCTTACAAAAATTAATTGTGTAGGCCTAAAAAAAAATCTAAATACATTTTTATGTGCGTAATGAGTACGCAATTACTAATTAGGCTTATCAATAAAAGGCAGTGATTATCAATAAGATATCCTTGACCTTAAAGAGAATACCGAATAATAGTATTCTGATACTGAAATCTAGTATAGTAAAAGCAAGCTGCTTCTTGTTTATATTAGTTGTTATGGAGAAAATTAAAAATTTATCACCGGCATTTACTCTGATCCCAATGTTCTTTAATAAAATATCCCAGGTGCTTTTAATTAACCAACCTAAACATAAATAATATCGTAGCTGAAAAACGACTTTGGAAACAATCTCCTAGACAATATTTCCTATAGATAATTTTAGTTACTTATACGCACTTCATATTTCGGTAGAAGAATCTTTTAATGTTATTAAAAAAAGGGTATAATTATAAATAGGCTAGGCCAATAATTTTAATAAATAATAATCAATAAACGGAAACACCTTTACAGCTTAATAGATCAAATAACTTCATACACACAATCATCTTATTCTATTAAAACTATTTTTTGTCATATTTATAACTATGCTTTAATTTTAAAATTGAAGCTTGTGTAATATTTTTTGTTTTCATAACTAGTAGACATCTAGATCTACATTTTTTAAGTTTTTTCAAATCCTAGTTTTATAGTTCTCAAAATGGCTGGCGAAGTTGTTGTAGATGCGTTACCATACTTTGATCAGGGCTACGATGATCCTGGTGTTAAAGAAGCAGCTATTGCCCTCGTAGAAGAAGAAACTAGACGTTACAGACCTACAAAAAATTATCTTGATTACTTTCCCACCCCTAACTATCATGCTTTTGAGACAGAAATTATTAAAAATGAAATGGAAAGAGTTCAGGTAAGCCGGCACCGATCATCAGATTGATTGTGTTTGTAATTGAGACATTGTCGGGTAAAATCTTAGTTTAGCGTCGTAAATTCGGCCAAAACTAGTAATGGGGGAGAGAGTGAATTAATGAATATGTCATTAAATATGAGTATATTTTCGTATATTTTGATAAAGTATTATAGATAATTGAATAATAGATCGCCATTGATAGTTAAATCAATTTAAATATCCTGAAATTAATTTTTATCAACCCTGTTCGAGATAGTAAATTTGCTATTAAAAACAGCAGCCATCTTAAGAAAATGTTATTGAGAGTAGCTTCCCTTTAATTTCTATTCATATGAAAATGTATTTAAATATGATCGTCTTGTTGTGTAGTCCGTATTACAACGCATTTTTTTTTAAATGTGAATTTCCTAACAAACAACTTTATTAATTCTAGAAGCATTGTGAGATGCAACTTGTATCCATGTATTAAATCACGTTTTTTTTTTACTAATGTTTATTTGATCTTACTATTACTAAATAGTTGTGAGTTTTTTCTTATTGTTTGAATGTTCACTATTTTCATTTCAGGTTTTTCTTTTCATCAATTAGTAATTCTATCGTAACTTATGACATTTTTTTTACTTCTCTTTACCTTTATTAAACCCCAACCTCCGTCATATTTTTGTCGTCAATGTCACAACAAGTCATAATGTAAAAAATTACGCTTCACTCAGCCTTATCTAAGATCTCTAACCATAATTTTGACAACATTAAATGTTTGTCATCATTTATATATACAGAGAGACAAAATGTATTATCCACCAGCTTCCCTCGTAAAACATCATCTAAAACAATGAGCCAGTCCACCCCTTAAGTGCGTGTTGTCATTATGGTCGATCGCAAGTCTCCACCTGCCAGACACATTTAGGTTATCCTTTGTTGTCAAATTGTCAATATCAAGTACACAAGTGAGTGATATGGGGTTGTCCATAATATGATGTCACATATGATTTGCTACGGGAGTGAGTGAAGATTTGTGACGTCAACTCAGGCGGCTTTGCAATTTATGACGTGTCGGTCTCATGAAGGGAGGTGAACGGGGAAAAATACCTAGGTGATTGGTGGAGAACCTCTATAATGCTTTGTTCAATCAAAATAACGATAAATAAGCATTAGTATCCGTATACCTTGCTTAAAACGAATCATCACAAATGTTGCAAGCCTGCTAGTTTAAGACATTCGGCAAAACGGCCGCAACACATTATCCCCGTCAAAAAGGCTTGCCACCAAATGCCTGCCGACGAATAAGCCGCGTCTAATGCGGGGCGTTAGGAATACGTGGCCATTAGCATGGGCCGCGTTAGAGCACCAGTTGGCTATCGCGCTTTGTAAGATGACGTAAATACTTAAATTCAATTTCGCTAAACTGCGCGAAAATTTAGTAATGTTCCATCGTTTGAGGAAATGTATTTTCTTGGACTTAAATTGAAATATCATGTTGACTGTCTGGCTCTTAATTTCCGAATATCACTTTTAATGTATCAAGATTCAGAACTATAATTTACTTTAATAAGTGTCATCTTATCGTTTATTGTGGTTTTTATAAAGCGCAGAGCAGCTTCAAAATCGGACGGCCATCCTGTTTTCACCAAGCTTCTTTTGGAGCTTAATATGGGTAGTCTAGTTCTATACGGTGAGAGCTTAATACATTTTTAAAGGGCCGAAAGTTTCAAGACAGCAAGCTTGCAGAAATAACTACGTACGTTTAAATGGACGAGTGATAGATGTGTTAGGGGCCGTTTATTAATGAACACCAACTTATGTAATCAAATTAAACGTCGCAAAAGCGTCAAAAAGGCAGTGCTTGTTTTTTTTTTCTATAAAATTAGCCTAAGGGTCGGCGGTACCGCTACATGACGTCACGTGCGAGCGTTAACTCGGTGACGATGTGCTAAGTGGGGGAATGAAAAAGGTGGGGTTCAAGAAATGCGACTCGGCAAGCTTTTTACATTCCTTGACCCTTCTTAATAGTTCTTTCGTCCCCACTGAGAAAATGGATCACCAATGAATGACGCGTCATACTTCTACAGCTGGTCTTTCTCCCACAACCATCCCATTTTCACGAAAAAAAAAAAAACCTGACCCGTCTCCAAAATCACATCGCTGAGTTCTATTTTACCTCTCCCCACCACAAATCACAATTTCTATCTGAAACAATATGTTTATATGTTTGCTTTGTAATAATGCACGCTGTCATTACTATCTTAAGAGCGACGTCATTTATGAGCGATCTAATATTGATTTGCTTACTGCAAATAAAGTGTTCAAAAGTTCGACCTCCCAACAATTGTTGTGGTCTTGGATGCACACTATTAAGTCTGATAAGGTCTATTAGTCATTCATGTCAACTATATTAAAACAAAAGAAAAATTACTATACAGGGGGGTCATTCATAAATGATGTCACGCTTTGTTTGACGATTTTTACCTCCCCCCCCCCTCCCCTCCGTCACAAAAAGCCAGACCCCCCCCCTAAAATGACGTCACACCTCAGCCTACAACCCCCCCTCAAAATTGCAGTTGAATTGTTTTTAAACATCTATATTTTTCCAAAATCTTGTCTGAACTCTGTCAAAATAGAGTATTTTAATCAATCGTTATTACAATTTATTAAAACAGTTTTTTAAAACGCAAAATAACGTCTAAAATTCGTTTTCTAACATTGCTTTTTTAAAAGGCAAAAGTGTGACGTCGCACCGTCTGACCCCCCCCCTCCCTCTCATCACACAACGTCACAAAATTACGGACCCCCCTCCCCCCTACGAGTGTGACGTCATTTATGGACGACCCCCGGCATATATTAAAAAGCAATACAAAACAATCATATTAAACCACAAAATCAACACAAAAGACATGCGAATAGACAATTTATTGTTTTTAAAACATGGCCGCTGCTTGTATTTACTCATTGTTGTCTCGAACGGAGTAGTTTAAAGTTTATTCCAGGATATTTATGACTGGTTTGGTCTTGGATTGTGATTTGTTATTCAATTATCTGTTATATTATGTAAAATATGACATAAATATGGCCAAATGAAAGAAATATTCATTAGTTACCTTCATCGCACATTACTAGCTACGTTGGAATTTACGACGCTAAACTAAGATTTTACCCATTGTCGTTACTAGACCTAGAATCTAGATCTAGATTCTAGCTAAACGCTAGTAAATTGCTAGACTCAACAACCGATGAAATGCCAAATTTCTTCAAATTTTAAGACGTATCTGTGCCAAATTTTATTATGGAAATCCAGTAGGCCTAAATCCTTTGAAGAAACTTTTCCGCAATATAAAATACTTTTTCAGCAAAAAGTCTGAAAAGAAACGTTAGGTGTGGGTGTTGGTAAATTCCAAGGTGTGAAAACTGCTGGTCACATGACATTTTTGTCACACATCTTGTCACACATTTTGGCCCACTTGATACTCACACTGGGTGGGGGTAAAATGCAAAGATGTTTGCGAAAAATGTACAGCACTAGCTTTACAATGAACATTGATGCTACCTTCAGAGACGGTTCATTTTCTTATCAGTTGCTAGATGTGCTGATGATCTAGATCTATCCACTTCCTTCTTTTGTGTAACACTGGAGCCACCACAAACAAATGTTTTACTGTGTCCAAGAAATTTTTCATTATTACTGCCACATAGGCTACTATTTATTTTTTCATCATATAGGTATTGATTTTGTTGATTTTTAAAAAGGTTTAAAACTAAAATTACTTCATAAAACTTTTTAAATTGTTTATTTATAATTCTATGCTTTCTACAAGTACAACAATAGAAAATGTCAAAGATCAGAAGGGATTGGCCTTACATTAACAATGTGGCTGAGAATTTCTCCCACTAAGAAGATTATATGAACTCACAATGACCCCCAAGCACGTTTGTTGTATTGCTTATAGGCTATAACCTATGTTAAAGTTTTTATAAATGTAGTGACTGACCTCTCAAACTGCAGTATTTTTCTCACGCAGACAAAATGTGAGCGGGCGAGAAACACCAACAATATTTAGAATTTTAAATATAGATCTAAATCTAGATTTTTAAAAATATTTATTCAGTCTCAATAATAGTCTCATTATGAACTCACAGTGACCCGTCGACTGAGATGAGAGTTTTCTCCCACTGACAAGAAAATGTGAGGGGATGATCATCGGGGCAATGATGTTTTTTAATCTAAAAATAATTAAATTAGATCAAGAATAAAATAAGAATGACATAGTAAAACAACAATTGTAATAGATCTATGTCTACTTGTCTAGTTTATAACTTCTTCTCACTCATCTGTCGAAAAAACAAAATACCAAAAGCACGAAACAAAAAATTGTGTCTCGGTATTTAACTGTGATTCCTCAGGTATGTCTCGCATTTTCTTCCCACCTCACCATTTCACGTCTCACAATTTACCAACACCCAAGTTAGTGTATCACAAAACAGCCATTCCATTTCAATTTTTTAAATTAAGTAATAGAGTAGCTAGGTAAGATGTAATACTCTAGATTTAAATTTAGATCTTTTGATGAAAGACAAAAGGTAAATGAATTGGTAGAACTATTATTGTATGAGACAGAAATGTTGTAAGAGAGGCACAGTTCTCATTAAATTACTTATTACTTGCACACGAGCATTTAACTATACTCTCCTCAAAACACACCTCACCTGCTCTCCATGAAGGTGATGCCCAAGATTTCCATATGATAGCTGAACAAATAAGCTCAGTCTTTAGACTGTCTCACTTCTACCAATGCTTTTATTTATATATTTAATTTGTATGCTGCTATTTTTTGTTAATTGCTTAAATGTCAAAGGGGGTTAAAACATCAATCTAGTCTTAGGAAAGACACTAACTATATAATGTTAGTATAATTTGGCTACCACATAGAATTCAAACATATGTTTCAGTTAATATTTCCTTGCCGTGTCTAGGAAGTAGGAATTGTTTGAGGCCACCCCATCCACCTTTATTTTTATTCAGTTGCTTACAATTGTGTGTGATCCCTAAACAAAACATGTGTACATATCTTTGAATTAAACCTGCTTGTGATGAAATATAACCCTTGATTGTTCGATTGACTTCCTTCTGATATGTTATATAATTTTGTTTTGGTATCATGCCGTTTAGTTGATAGGTTGATAAAGTATTAGTGTTGGCTGTTTTTTTCTTTCTATCTGCTGGCTAGGATATTAAAACCTTGAGGTCAATAGCATCAGCATCAAACTTCAGCATAAAACAATGGGTGGAGGGTGTTGACAAATGTAGAGAATTCTAAAAATGTGAATGACCGAATGTATCCTATCCTGACTTTCTATCCCATCAGGCACGTCTACCAATGGACATGATGAGCATGAAGAGGTACGAGCTGCCAACCCCACCAGCTGGTAAGATGACGGACGTCTCAGCCTGGCAGGAGTGTGTGGACAACTCACAGGCCCAGCTGGAGCACCAGTCCCTGAGAATCCTCAACCTGGAACTCATGTCAGAATATGGCTCGGCTGCTTGGCGCTCATACAACTCTGTGCTCACCAACATGATAGACCAGGCACAGAAACATTTACAAGTAGGTGGCTTTCTTTCAGGCTGGTGCATTCTTCTGGTGGTGGGATGTAGTCATGGTGATACAGCGTTCATTCATTGGTGGTGTGGATATAGTCATGGTGATACAGCGTTCATTCATTGGTGGTGTGGAGATAGTAATGGTGATACAGGGTTCATTCACTGGTGGCAGAATTATAGTTATGGTGATACAGGGTTCATTCATTGGTGACAGAATTACAGTTATGGTGATACAGGGTTCATTCACTGGTGGCAGAATTATAGTCATGGTGATACAGGGTTCATTCATTGGTGACAGAATTATAGTTATGGTGATAACAATTTGTGTCAAATTTGGTAATGTTTATAAAAAGTAATTTAGCAATTACTGATGGGAAGGTTCTTTTATAAAAGATCAATTTTTGCTTTATTTTTTCTTTTACCCTTTTGCTCTATTGTTTATTGTGGTGTTAATCATATAAATAATTCTTGTCTTCCAGGATCTGAGGAAGAAAATCCAAGAAATCAACTGGCAGCGTAAAACAGAGCAGACACAAGCTGGTGAAAAGTTGAGAGACCTAGAAACCAGCTGGGTCGGACTTGTCAGTAAAAACTATGAGATAGAACGGGCATGTGCAGAGTATGAGAAGGAGATTCAAGAAGAGGACATGAAACAAGCAAGGAGGGGGAGGAAGAGGTTGCATGAAGACTCTTGAGTGTTGTGTTCAGTTGTTTTTTTATTGTTGTTGGAGGTCAATGTGTGTTGTGTAATTGGTTGAGAGAGTCTAAATGTAGCAGAGATGTCTTTGAAGTGTGTACAATATTGAAGGTGATGTGTTTTAGAATGATTGTTATTTGACTGCTGTTGTGTGGGTTTGGCTAGTTGTGAGATGTGTGTCTGACAGTAAGCTTGTGTGTGTGTTGTGGAACATGATAGTCATCTCTAAACCATCTTTTGTTGATACATCAAGTTTTATAAAAATCACCAAAACATCATAATTTTCTTTTGTTTCTCTATTGTGTTCTGCTAAGTTAGAAAAGGGATAGTTTCAAATAGTTTTCAACCAATTATTTGGATCCCATGTCAAAAGTTAAAAATTAAAACTACATTTGTGTAATTAGTCTAATATTGATTGTACTACCTGATTTGAGTTGACTAGTACTGGGTGATTAAAGAACTACTGTAGGCTATAGATATAAGCTAGTTTGTTAGGGCTTGTTAGCTCCATTAAGGACAAGATTTACAGACAACATATCGATGGTCTCGGTCGCAAACCGTCTAACTCAAAAAAATTTGATTTTCTTTTTTTTACATAAATCAAAAGCCAATATGATTCCCCATAATGCCTGAAAATATTAGAGAAATCTGTAAAATGATTATTGAGATATAATCATTTGAACAAACCGCCTATTATTTCTAGCGCTAAAAATCTCGGCGCAAAACGAATATCGCTATATTTGTCAGTACACTTTTGATCGGGAGCGCAGTCGCACGCCGTAATCACACAATTTTACAGCACAGCAGTCACAGTACTTATAGGTAAGGATATTTGATTAATTATGTTCAACTGTTCTATTACATTTTATCATTTTAAGGAATAATAAACAAATAGTATTTGTTTAATATAGCATATTTCCAGATTTTCAATAACCAAACTGATTTGTTTACAATTTTTTAGGCTAACACAATGCTTTGAAACTAGATCTTCATTCTAGAATCTAAATATCAATCAAAACAATATAATTCTAATTATATTTCCACAAGAATGTGCAATAAACTTAATAATTGTTGATTCACTACTAGCTTTAGATTGAGGCTTTAGATACGTGTTAAGAAATGTTTATATGGTAGGTTACAAAATGTTTGGTGTACATGTTCAACGACATGGTTAGTTGTCTATAGTAGATGCTTTTATGATTAATTTTTCAACAGACAAGCCTATCTCAACACACCAACCTCTCTCAACATATCAGCCTCTCTCAACATACCAGCCTCTCTCAACAGACCAGCCTCTCTCAACAAACCAGACTTACAACATAACAGACCAGCCTCTCTCAACAGGCCAGCCTCTCTCAACAGGCCAGCCTCTCTCAAAAGACCAGCCTCTCTTAACAGATCAGCCTCTCTTAACATACCAGCCTCTCTCAACAGATTAGCCTCTCTCAAAAGACTAGCCTCTCTCAACATATCAGTCTCTCTCAACAGACCAGCCTCTCTCAACAGACCAGCCTCTCTCAACAGACCAGCCTCTCTTAACAGATCAGCCTCTCTTAACAGACCAGCCTCTCTCAACATACCAGCCTCACTCGACAGAACAGCCTCTCTCAACAGACAAGCCTCTCTCAACATACCAGCTTCTCTCAACAGACCAGCCTCTCTTAACAGACCAGCCTCTCTCAACAGATTAGCCTCTCTCAAAAGACTAGTCTCTCAACATATCAGTCTCTCTCAACAGACCAGCCTCTCTCAACATACCAGCCTCTCTCAACAGACCAGCCTCTGTCAACATACCAGCCTCTTTCAACAGACCAGCCTCTCTCAACATACCAGCCTCTCTCAACATACCAGCCTCTCTCAACATACCAGCCTCTCTCAACAGACCAGCCTCTCTCAACAAACCAGACTTACCACATAACAGACCAGCCTCTCTCAACAGATTAGCCTCTCTCAAAAGACTAGCCTCTCTCAACATATCAGTCTCTCTCAACAGACCAGCCTCTCTCAACAGACCAGCCTCTCTCAACAGACCAGCCTCTCTCAACAGACCAGCCTCTCTCAACATACCAGCCTCTCTCAACATACCAGCCTCTCTCAACAAACAAGTCTTACCACATAACAGACCAGCCTCTCTCAACAGACCAGCCTCTCTCAAAAGACCAGCCTCTCTTAACAGATCAGCCTATCTCGACAGACCAGCCTCTCTTAACAGACCAGCCTCTCTTAACAGATCAGCCTCTCTTAACAGACCAGCCTCTCTCAACATACCAGCCTCACGCGACAGAACAGCCTCTCTCAACAGACAAGCCTCTCTCAACATACCAGCTTCCCTCAACAGACCAGCCTCTCTTAACAGATCAGCCTCTCTCAACAGATTAGCCTCTCTCAAAAGACTAGTCTTTCTCAACATATCAGTCTCTCTCAACAGACCAGCCTCTCTCAACATACCAGCCTCTCTCAACAGACCAGCCTCTATCAACATACCAGCCTCTCTCAACAGACCAGCCTCTCTCAACATACCAGCCTCTCTCAAGAGACCAGCCTCTCTCAACATACCAGCCTCTCTCAACAGACCAGCCTTTCTCAACATACCAGCCTCTCTCAACAGACCAGCCTCTCCTAACATGTCAGTCTCTTTCAACAGACTAGCCTCTCTCAACAGACCAGCCTCTCTCAACAGACCAGTCTTACCATACAAGACACCAGCATTTGTCAACTGACTAATCGTAAAGGCACCAGTATCTATCAACAGACCAGCCTTTCACAACAGACCAGTCGTAACATTAAGGCACCAGTAACTCACAAGAGACCAGCCTCTCTCAACAGATTAGCCTCTCTCAAAAGACTAGTCTTTCTCAACATATCAGTCTCTCTCAACAGACCAGCCTCTCTCAACAGACCAGCCTCTGTCAACATACCAGCCTCTCTCAACAGACCAGCCTCTATCAACATACCAGCCTCTCTTAACAGACCAGCCTCTCTCAACATACCAGCCTCTCTCAAGAGACCAGCCTCTCTCAACATACCAGCCTCTCTCAACAGACCAGCCTTTCTCAACATACCAGCCTCTCTCAACAGACCAGCCTCTCCTAACATATCAGTCTCTTTCAACAGACTAGCCTCTCTCAACAGACCAGCCTCTCTCAACAGACCAGTCTTACCATACAAGACACCAGCATTTGTCAACTGACTAATCGTAAAGGCACCAGTATCTATCAACAGACCAGCCTTTCACAACAGACCAGTCGTAACATTAAGGCACCAGTAACTCACAAGAGACCAGTCTCTCTCATCAGAACAGTTGTAATATACAAAAGATCAATCTCTCTCAACTGACCAATCTTACCCTCCAAGATACCAGCCTCTCTCAACAGACCATTCTTACCATACAAGAGACTAGCCTCTCTCAAAAGATTATTCTTATCCTACAATAGACAAGCCTCTCTCAACACACCAGTCTTACCATACAAGACAACAGCCTTTCTCATCAGATCAGTCGTAACATACACTAGACCAGCCTCACATAACAGACATTAGACACCAACCTCTCTCAAAAAGACCAGCCTTACCATACAAGAGACCAGCCGATCTCAAAAGACCAGTCAGACCTATCAAGAATTCAAAGCGACAGATATTCGTGCACTGCAGTACAAGCATGATGCTACTATCTACTTCAAAGTGAATTAGCAAATAGATGGCAATTGCTAAGCTAGGGTTGTAAGATTATGATCTAATCTGTAGCCCCTGTGAAGTTTGTACAAGAGCAGAAAAAAGATAAAAGCTGTCATATTTGAGCACCTAAAAGCAAGTCATAAACACACCTTTTTATGATGATTTCCCTGATTTTAAAAATATGTTGCCATTTTAATGATTCTTTATGTGACGTTTATTCAAAGAATAAATTTTAAAAATAAACACATTTTTTGTGTTACATTTTTGTAAAATAAGTAAACATTAAGTCAGTATTAATGTGATTAGTGTGTTATGTCTCAATCATAATATATCTGACAATACGGTTTCTGTTTTTACTATTATCATTCTAAAAACCCAGAACCCACCATATTTAGTAAAATAAATTGTGAGAATAGAAAGATGTAATAAATAAAGCATAACCTTCAACAGTTAACAAGTCTAGTGCTAAATACAGACACAATGAATACAGTCGAAAGCGATAAAGCCATACTAAAACATCTCTATTAAAAATTAAACTGACCCCATAATGTAGAATAAACTCAAATAATTAAAATATGAGCCCAAAACTATAATCTAAATATTATGAAGTGTTAATTATAACTTAAAAACATAAACATAACCAAATAACGTTCATTGCACAAAACGAACGAACGCGGCTGAGACCGAAATTCTCGGCTCAAAACAGCTAAGTCTGCGCGCGCACAGATAGACGGTTTGCACCGAGAATTTTAGACCGAGCAAACCGTCTATCTTTTTAAACCTGCTATAATTTTGGAAATATCAACAAAACCAATTTTAAAACGCTACAGTATAGTCGGTAGAGAGTTTCTTCGGAGATATCTTTTTAAAAAAATTGTATTAGAGCGATCGAGAAGGAAATAATCAGTTTTTTATCTCTCCTGTAAAATTTACATTTTCGGAGTTAGACGGTTTGCGACCGAGACCATCGATATGTATTATACACATTATTTTTACATATATACTTAATATCCACACATTTCAATCAACCCAATTCCCACTTGGCCTATGTGATCAACAGTTTTAACACCAGCCAAATGATATTTTTGGGAGCCGGATGTTTTCCCGAAAGACACTTGCCCGAGGGCTAATTTCATGAATGGACACTTGCCCGAATTGGCCTTTGGACAAACGGCCCACGGGGAAATGTGACTTTTGGGAATTTGTCGTAGACCCATAATTTTGATTAACATACAGTGAATTTGTTTAAAATTATGAGGCGTTTATTCTGACACTCATTGAGCTGTTGAATTTTTTAAATGCATATGCACTATGGAGAATGGGGCTTTCTCTCTCTCTCTAATCTAAGGATACAGTATGGCGTTGTAGGTGTGAGCTCACTGGCTAGAGTAAAGAGGTTAATATATATCAGCGTGAAAGTGGCTGATAGAGATTATTAAAGACGTCAGTTTTCTACTTAACAAGTTCATGTAACGGTCAGTTTCCGTTAAGTAAGGTGACAGTGGGTTGTCTTACTGAACGTAATTTATTGTAGTGCTGTAGTTAGTTTTCTTCCAATTCTGCCAATGAAAACACCCAGGCCTACAAGACGCAATTGTTCTATGATAAAACTGTCATGCTGCGATGAAAAGGTTGTACATGATGTGCGTGACCTGTGACTTGATGTGAAATCACCTCCACGTCCCCCCCCCCCCTACCCCCGTCCTCCACTGCTTACCCATCCTCCTATCTCCTAGGCTGCACGCCTCCCCCACCCTTGGTCCTCCCGACGTTCCCCCTCCTCTTGTAAGTCGCACCCCCCCCCCCCCATACATTTTTAAACTCTGAGATTATTAGCCTCGAAGTCGATTCCAATGTCTATGTCAGATTCAATCGGATGCTATCGATTAGGCTAATCGATAGTCGAAAAAGTTAATTTTGGCGATACACAGACTGTACTTTTAAATTGTCAGCTTGATGCACGTTCTGCAAGGCTAAATATTGATACTATTTTGGGCCAAGTTTTAAATCGTCAAAATTCTATATAACTACAAATTTTAAATATTCAAACGTTTCGGCTAACTTTCGTCAAATTACCCTACAGTGTGCCTACAATTTTAAACATTGAAACAATTCGACCAACTTTAAAATCATCCAAATGTTGTAGGCTTACATATTTAAATTGAATCTTGTATAATTCGGCAAACTTTAAAATGGTCAAAATTCTGTAGGTCTACATAAACTAAACCTTAAATCAACGCAACCTTCTTAAAAGTTGAGGGTTACAAACAGGTTTAAACGGGTTTACAATATAGACGTGTAGTGCTGTTTGCAGAGAATATATAATGCACGGGAAACAAATTTCATTGCAAGCCGTATGATGAAGACCAGACGCTAAAAAAAGTTTTTCAATAACCATTTCGTTTTTGTGCCTTATGGGTCTCCAAACTTTTCAGCCGCATTAACTATCAAAAATCAGTTCGGGAACCAGTTTCTTCAAGGCATCTCTTAGGGGTGTATCAAATTATTCTTCACGTATTTCATTCTTGAAAATGTTTGTTCACACATCCGCGGGCCGGATGTAAGTACCTCGCGGGCCGCATCCGACCCGTGGGCCGTATTTTGGAGACCCCTTCGCCTTATGGTCATTTGCTAAGCATCATGAAAAAAAACCCACTGATTTTATGCCATAGAAAGAATTGAGTAAAATAATTTTCTTTAGCTCTATAAAAATACATCACTATTTAGGCCTATAGGAGTATAACTGTAAAGAAAGTGCTCACGATTTCTCTACACAACAATCTAATTAGAACCCTTAAAGCGCCCTCGCTTCCCCCAAGCTGGAAAAGGTTGGGTGTACGATTTGTACCTGACACTGCGCTTTACTGATTTCATTTATCTGTTGCACAATCAATGTGTAAACCAGTTAAGTCTCTACCTAAAGCCTTGCAGCGATTGTGTAAAATTCAGCTATGCATTCGAAAATGAGATTTTAATACTTTTTTTTAAACATTGCATTTAGGCATGTAGGTCTCCCCAGAAACGTAGCAGGGGTTTGTTATGGGGTGGACGGTTCACATTTGTATTAACTGAAACTTAACATGTGGAACAAGGGTATGTGGAGTTTTGATCCTGTCTTAAACACGTCCTGCCTACGCAACGCGATCAGTCTAATAGAGCAAGTTATGATAAAAGATAATATTTCATGGAGAAATTCTACTCTAATTAAAAAAACACACACAATCGATTAAAAATGTTCAGCGTGGAGTTGCCACAATGTAGTGTAAAGTTCAGAAAAACCGTTACTTCACACTTGCTAGTTCTTGTTTGTAATTAATGGGTGAATCAGCACTCTCCAACCTGTCAGTGTAACAATAGGGCTTGTCAGGACACATGTGGTACATTGACACATTGTGTGTCGCTCTAGGTGGCGGTTGTGTGAGACAACATTCGAGAAAGTGTTGGGTGGCGAGTATATGACAGTTGTGAGACTAGAAATAATGGCTAGGTTCCTGTATATATATATATATATATATATATATATATATATATATATATATATATATATATATATATATATATATATATTTATATATATATATATATATATATATATATATATATATATATATATATATATATACATATACATATACATACATTTAGGCCCTATATAATCTTTTAAAGAAAAACATAAACGTTTGACAAAATGACAACTAAATATATTGTCCCAAGTTCTTAAAGTTACAGAAAGAGGAGGGGTGTAGACCCTTCTAACACGCTCTTGGAGTCAAGAATGGTCCATAGAATTCCAGGGTACAACCGCAAGGCCCCAATCAAGCCGATGATACTTGTGTATTGATTGCACTCGAACCAGTTGATTGAATGGTAATTATTCAGGCTAAAATTGGGCTCGTCTTTCAATTGCCTCTTCAGACTGCTCATAGCCTCGACCGAGTAGCGGCCCCTTTATTTTTTAGACTGCTGGCTGTGGCGGGTGGAGGGTTAATGTGTGTTTGCGTGTTGCGCGGTGTACTGTAGTGTTACATACCACGACATTTTTTGAACGAGTGGTTTTTACTTTCTCGTATATACGTAGTATAGAGAAAGTATTGTAATCGTGCAAAAAAAAAAAAATCGAGATTTTTACAAATCTCGACGTTTTACACCTCACTGATACGGAAAAACATAATTTTGCAATCTTGTCCGTATGTCTGTGTGTGTGTGTGTCTGTCTGTCTGTCTGTCTGTCCGTGTGTAAACACGATAACTTAAGTACCGTTACAGCTAGGTTGATGAAATTTCATATATAAGTATTTTATCAAAATCGTAGATCCGTATCAACTTTTGAGCGATTTCCGATAACCGGAAGTGGTACTTTTCCTACTTTGAATTTTTTAAAAGCCTATAACTTGAGTACTATTTCAGATAGATAAATGAAATTTCACATGTAAGTAAAAGATCTAATTCTCTACCTTCTGTTAAATTTTGAGTAATTTCCGTTGACTGGAAGTAGTAATTTACGCTACTTCCGATTTCTCAAAAAACTAATGTAAATTTTTAAAGTACTAATAATATTGCGCACTATTATACGCGTTTTTATTCGGCGTTTGCTTGGTGCGCAATGTTTTTTTTATGAGATTCTATTCTATTTTTAAAAGTTTAAGTATTTAAAATGGATTAAAAATCATAACTATATCCCCAGTTACCATCCCCTGTTGTTTTATATAAGAATATTCGAGAAAGTTTAGGGGAGATCACTACCGGTTTATTTAAATATTATTAAGAGCAAGGTATTTAAATTGGTTTTTAATTGCACATTTTATTCGTTACGTAGTCAAATTTTATATTGAATGCAACTATGCAACAAAAATATACGCGCTGTTATTACACATACATATGGGGGTAACAGACAGCCCTGGAGTAGAAACTTCGATTTATGTAATAAGGAAACTATTTGATCACATATTGGGACAAACCATATATCACATTTTAAATGTCGTGTGTCTTGACAGAAGGACAAAAACACATCCATCGACTGCCATTAACACCCACCTATTCCTCTGTAGATAACTAAAGGATATTTCTTCGTGATTTGCATCAATATAAAGCAAAGTAATAGAAAACATATTCTACATTTTTTAAACCCCTTAAAACACACCATATTACACACTCACTCAAACACGCACGCACACACACACACACAAACACGCACACATACACACACATAAACACACGCAAACACAAACACACACACGCATACACATGCGCGCACACACATACACACATACACGCATAAACACGCGCAAACACACGCACACACAGGCGCGCACGCACACACACGCACACATAAACACTCGCACACACACAAACAAGCACACACACACGCATAAACACGCACACACACCCAGGCACCAAAAAACGCGGTGTATGTAAACCACTCAACAACTAATCGTTCTAATTAATCCCACGTCCCCGCCATTGTGTGCCAACAATCGCCGTGTATTTATCTACCTGGCCGAGTGGGCCCCCTGAGACCGTGGTTTATACCTGGATCTACGGGGCTTAGGTCTGTAGGTAGCTCTGGCACAGCCTGCAGTGGTGCGCACGTCACATAGACATCATCACAGTAGTGTGGGCACAGCAACAACTAGCTGCAACTCTCGCAACTGTCGCATGCGGTAATTGGATTTTATAAGGAAACGACACAATTCATTTCTTAGGAAGTTTTGGATGGTTTTTTGTTTGTTATAGGTTATGTTCAAGGTGGCCTATTTTAGAGTAAGTATGGTTATAAAGTATGTAGTTTAAGTATGATGATAAAGTATGTAGTTTAAATATGATTAAAAAGTAGGCCTATATAGTGTAGGTAAAGTATGTAATCGTATTATTAAAAGTAGTGCAATGTTGTTTTTTTTTGTATCGTTAAAAACTCGTAATCTGAATTCTAGGAACATTTTAATAGGATAAAAAAGTTAATTACTGTGATTTTTTAAATTTGACAGAATGTTTTGTTATTATTAGAATATACAGCAGGCCCTATACAGACTTTAAAATGTTATTGTTTTGTCGGTACAGACTGGTGCATAGTGGCTCTATTTTTATACTGTTAAAATTTAGTGGCTCTATTTTTATACTGTTAAAATTTAGTGGCTCTATTTTTATACTGTTAAAATTTAGTGGCTCTATTTTTATACTGTTAAAATTTAGTGGCTCTATTTTTATACTGTTAAAATTTAATGGCTCTATTTTTATACTGTTAAAATTTAATGGCTCTATTTTTATACTGTTAAAATTTAATGGCTCTATTTTTATACTGTTAAAATTTAGTGGCTCTATTTTTATACTGTTAAAATTTAGTGGCTCTATTTTTATACTGTTAAAATTTAATGGCTCTATTTTTATACTGTTAAAATTTAATGGCTCTATTTTTATACTGTTAAAATTTAATGGCTCTATTTTTATACTGTTAAAATTTAATGGCTCTATTTTTATACTGTTAAAATTTAATGGCTCTATTTTTATATCGTTAAAATTTAATGGCTCTATGTTAATACTGTTATTATTTAATTCGTGATTTTTCTTTTTCTGTAAAGTGGAGACATTGAAACAGGTTAGTGTTAGGTTTAAGAAAAACTCAATAATTCGATGCGCCAGATAATTATTTAACATCAATCATATAAAAGATAAAACTTATAATATTCACTTCTTGTATATAGTTCAGTGAGATAAGGCTATGCAAGCACATTTATGTTTTTATAATAAGAAATCCTTGTAAAGGGGTGAAGATTTCAGCTAGAGTTATGTAACACAGAACAAATGGTCAGTAACAAACATGACGTCACTGGATGTGTCCCATCTCACGTGACACCCAAAACAGCAAACCACACACTCACACATACACACACGTATACACTCAAACTCTCACACACTCTCGCACACACAGACACCACAAACTCACACTTTTTTTTAACAGGGAGTAGGGTACTCGAAGCTTTCGAAGTTGATGGCGGGGGTGGGGGGGGGGGGAGGGCCGCTTGAATTTCCGGGGGACAGGGGGTGGACACTGGCGGAAGTATTTATTCTCTATAATATAAACTACATTTAAAAAAATTCTTCCGGGGGTAGGGAGTGTGAATGGTGGGCGTGCTCCGTTGGGACACTGCCCCCCCCCCCCACTCCCGAAGAGATGTATGATCGAAACTACTCACACGCATATACGTTTGCGCACATTCACAACACTAATGACGTCAGTGCTACATACTTACCCATCGTGAAATTACCCCCACACTAATGCACCTTTATCCCGAAACAAAAGATAAACCCAGGGAATTGACGGCCAGTTTAACGTTAATCCCAACTATCCCTTGATTTGACTAAACAAACATCATTACCCTTCGATAAAGGTCCAGGGCAGCACGCCCGCCCCCCCACACTCGCTTGTATCTGTCGGTTGGGTACTCTACGACGCAGAGGCGTAGCGACGGCGGGGGGGGGGGGGGTTACATTTGTCCCCGGGCGGCGACCCTAGGGGTGCCAAAATAAGCTAATTTTATCTGCTATTTTGAATTATAAATATAAAAAATATATGGGGGGGGGGGGGGCGCCAAATTAAAAGTTTGTCCCCGGGCGTCGGGAGGGGTCGCTCCGCCTCTGCTATGACGCCTGCTACACTCGACATGTCTGCCTGCTGATCCCCACAAGTGCCAGAGGTTTCTGTAACCAAACACGCCTTGACCTACACGGCCGGATATCTCCGGCTAATACCGTGAAGCCGGAAGTGGCCAGGCTTGTTTTATCTCTGCGACGCTTCAGGTCGACGCTGCGATCAGCGATACATTGTATCTTTTCTGGCATGTTTACTTGGGCTTGTGTAGGGCTGGGGTTAAGTCGTCGGATTAAGGTTAGGTTTATCTTAGAAATATACGACGTATATAACACTTCTCTATAGCTTTTACATGTGACACTGTTAGAATTTTACTTGAAAAAAAATCTCTATTGTAATTTTACACCCATCACTTCCGCATTTTTTAAAACAACGGACAGCTCTAAAGTGTTTCTATATCCTACACTTATCCATTGTATTTACATCTGAAACCACTCTAAAGTCCTTGTCCCTAACACCTTCCAAAACCTGGTGTGTAACATTGCAATAGTGATCGTAAGTTCACTTTGCAACCTGATGGTCCATTGTGAAAGTGAAGTAGAGTTGACCTGTCTCTGTGACATCGGCGTATGAAAGGATAGTGTAGTCAGCACTATACCCACCCGGATAGTGCTCATACTAGTATCTTTAACCCTACATTTTTTGAACTGATATAATTAACTCTCGGCAGTTGATGTGAATGTTAAAAGTTAATTTCCTTCTCAAACCGACCTCGTATAGAACATCTACATTTCTAATTGTATATTAACGTATGTAGCAACACGTTTTATACCGTGGCTTTAAGTTGTAAATATATGTTCACTGTGTGCTACTGTATTGCCATTAATATTTCATTTAGGCATCCTCGGAATACGACCCTGCCGAAGTAGAAACAAAAATTTAAATACAATAATGTATACTTTAATCTTTGACCCCCCACCCATAATCCCACCCTGGCAAAAATGCCTGAAAGAAACCCTGATTACCACGATATTCCAGCAAGTTAAAGTCTTTCCATGTACTAGCATGCCCAGGGTAAAGCGATCCTTTGTTGTTCTTCCAAAAGGCCGGATTAAAATACAACAGTGTAACACAACTTCACTACCTTAATACATTAATCGTGATTGTTTCTATTTTTAACTTCACACTCAACTTCAATAGCTTAATACATTAATCGTGCTTGTATTTAACTTCCACACAACTTCAATACCTTAATACATTAATCGTGATTGTTTCTATTTTTAACTTCACACTCAACTTCAATAGCTTAATACATTAATCGTGCTTGTATTTAACTTCGCTAGGAGCTGAATTGTTCTCGGTATGGGATAAGATTCAATAATATTTGGAAACGCTTGCCTTACTTAAGACTGTTGTACATGCAGGCTGATGCGTGTCTGAGTACACTCAGTTGATCGGGTCTTAAAGAGGAATTTGTCAAGATGCAGCAGGCGTAAAATTACTTTGTTCAGTTCAACAACAAAGAGAATATTTCATTTGATCATTCTTTGGGGTTGGTTTTGGTAAGCCAACGTCTAGAGAATGAAATAAAAAAAATAGAAAGAATGAATCGGGTGCGGGATTACTCTTTAATTGTGGGTTATTACCAGAGGCGTAGCCTTGAGTGGGTGTGGACTGGTGATGGGGTGGGGGTGGTGGGAGTGATTTTAAAAGTAAAGAGTTTTTCAAAAAGTGGCACTATCTTGGAGGAATAATTTCAAAAGATTAATAATTACGGATGATTAAAAAAACCTATTCATCGAAAGCTTTTTTTAAATACCTTGATTTTTATATATGAACTGTTATTACCTATTCTCCGGATAGTAACTTCTCAATATGATATTTTTCTGTCAGTACGCGCTGAAGACATAAGAAAATAAAACAAACCCTATAACCCTGTGAGTGAGTTAAATCACCCCTCCCATTGCACTACTATTTGCTGAATCTTTGACTCCAAGTTTAAAGGATAGACTTTCAGCTTTACTAACTAACTCAACTCAACCTAACTTACACATTTCATCAGCAGAATGTTATTTACATGTGTTAGTTGATGTATTGCACGATCATTAGTTATTTGACTCCCTGTATGATCTTCATAGCTGGGAACAGTGTTTCTTCCAGACGTTTTTCTCCGGAGGGGGGGGGGGGGGCACTTGAAATTTTCGGGGGGGGGGGGGGGGCGGTAGAGTTTCTTCGGGGGGGGGGGGGGGGGGGCGGACACTGTTAAAAGTATATATTTTCTATATAAATTATATAAATTTCATTTCGTTCGGGGGGGGGGGGGGGCGGTAATTTTTTTTCGGGAGGGCAAAGCCCCCCCCCCCCCCCCCCCCCCGAAGAGATGTCTGGAAGAAACTCTGGCTGGGAAGCTTGTATTGTATGTATTGTATGCATTGTATGTATTGAATGCATAGGGCTAATACGATTTGGAATCTGACTCTAGGCCATCACATGAAACATGCGCGTGTTGTTATAATGTGCCGCCCCCTAGTGACCACGGCGTTGCTGACACGGCCGTATCACATAATTTAATTTTATTTTTGACAACATAGAGGCCCATTCGTTGTTCCTGTACACACGGACTTAAAGCGATCAGTTCTAGTATAAAAATAAAGGTAATCTCATTTACATCTGACAGTGGGTACTGGGGCATCACGCAATACTTTAATGAAAGCATTTATAAGCTGGTTCTAATAGAATTGAGATCAAACGTATGTATGTGTGTGTGTACATACGTGTTTATGGTTATTCGATTCATTTATTTGGGACTGAGGGTGTAGGCATGTAGGCTTGCAGGAGCCGTCTTTTCACATGTGTGTGTGCGTGTATGTGTGTATGTGCGTGTGTGTGTATGTACATGTGTTTGCGTGTGTGTGTGTATGTACGTGTGTGTGTATGTACGTGTGTGTGCGTGTGCATGGTTTCTTTTACACATTTTTCATTTGCGAGGGGCGGGATGTAATTTATTTTTTTTTTGGGGGGGGGGGGGGGGAGACAGAGTAGACTGGTACTGGATCACCTTCCCCCCACCCCCGCAATGATACCTGAAAAAAACTCTGTGTTCTTATGTATTTTTGTGCCATTCTTAAATTTCTATGTATATCTGTGTATATTATTCCACATGTGTGATTACGTTTGTATGCTTATAAGTTTGCTACACCTAACAGGGCCCATGTGTGTTATATATTTGTTTAACGACGTGTTGTACAGCGCTACAACTCCATACAGCTACAACAACACATACACCATACGTTCAGTGTTTCTTTCAGATTTTTTTCTCCCCAGGGGTGGGGGGGGGGTGGCTTGAAATTTTCTGGGGGCGGACTAAATTTTCCTGGGGAGGGGGGGGGGGGGGGTCGGTCATGGTAAAAGTATATATTTTCTATATAAACTCAATTTCGTTTGGAGGGCGTTGGCGTTCTTCCATAAGAGATGCCTGAAAAAAAAACTCTGCATATGCCCCACTTAGAACGCCATCAACCAAAAGCACCACTTGTGTCTCCAGTTCCAGCGTGTACATTAACCCTCAATGTTGCCGTCTCACGACACGACGGTTTAAAGCAGGATACACCGTCGTTCATACAATCGATCTTCGTAACCTCACGCTAATCTACTGAATACATCGACGCTTAATTAACTCCCCCAGCACACAAAGACATAAGTTTTAAGGCCCGAGACCCAGCCGTAGAAAAACAAAACCGTCTTTTGCCCCACCATTCAGCTCAAGTTCCGCGTCGTATCCAATAACTTCACAGGATGTAACGACAACACAAAGACGCCATTGTGACTGGAATTGTCTATCCATACGGCGTGCGGTCGTGTGTCTACCAGTATGTCTATTTATACGTGGTATCTGATTTAATGAATGACAAGGGCGGGGTTGTGACCTGTATAGAGGAATGGGTTATAAATAATTAACGTGTGTTGTGGTAATTACAGGTGTATTATAAAAGGGAGTTAAACGGAGCTAGAGCACACGTTTAGCTCCGTGTTGGCGAGGATGGAATGTGTGTTGTCTAAGACTAGGATCTAATACTGAAGGTGAGTAAAGTTAGTTGACTGGTGTCTACGTAGTTGTGTGAACCATAGGCTTGTGGAAAGTACATCAAGTAGAATATAAAGTAGAAACATAAATAAAATAGACTCAGTTTAAAAAGAATGGCAAGGCTTGATAATACAAAGTGTTAAATTAAGATATGTTTAGATACTCTGTTTAAAAGCGAGGTAGATCTACAGTGTAAAAAATCCCACTAAAAGTGTAAAAGCCTATTCGAGAAGTTTTGTTATTTTTAATATTTCAAAATTCAAAATTTCAACTAAATTATGATTTTATGAATGATTAGCTATAGTATACTTTGATTTTACTACATCTATTCTGTAAGAGTATTAATATTATTAAATAAAATTATTTTTTCCGGACCTATTTTAAAGCCGAACAAGTTGAAATAGATTTAGAAACTTAAAACTTCTAACGATTATTATTATTATTTTTTTGTATTACTTCATATACCACACATTAACCCTTGACCTCATGTCGCCTGGGAGTTGTTTGACCCTTAATACCAGGTCAAGTGGGAATTGTGTGACCCTTGACCCCAGGTCAAGTGGGAATTGTGTGACCCTTGACCCCAGGTCAACTGGGAATTGTGTGACCCTTGACGCCAGGTCAAGTGGGAATTGTGTGACCCTTGACCACAGGTCGACACTGGACCAAACTCTCAGGCCTCGCCTCCAGCGCTGTAAAATTTCCAGACCACAAGGATCTAGAGCTAGCAGTAAAAAATGTCTAGCCCTCCAGTCTCTGGGCACTCGTGTACTCTATTGAGGTTATTTAATTCGGTCCAGTTAATTCATCATTAAGTTTTAATTGGTGGCTCATCCTTGTGCTTAACTAAAACAAAAAAGTTTGGAATACTTTAGTTGCCTAAAGGAGGAGGGGGGATAGTTGTCATGGCTACAGTGACTGGCTATATATATATATATATATATATATATATATATATATATATATATATATATATATATATATATATATATATATGTATGTATATATATATATATATATATATATATATATATATATATATATATATATATATACACATACACATACACATACACATACACACACACACACACATACACATACACATACACATACACATACACATACACATACACATACACATACACATACACATACACATACACATACACATACACATACACATACACATACACATACACATACACATACACATACACATACACATACACATACACATACACATACACATACACATACACATACACATACACATACACATACACATACACATACACATACACATACACATACACATACACATACACATACACATACACATACACATACACATACACATACACATACACATACACATACACATACACATACACATACACATACACATACACATACACATACACATACACATACACATACACATACACATACACATACACATACACATACACATACACATACACATACACATACACATACACATACACATACACATACACATACACATACACATACACATACACATACACATACACATACACATACACATACACATACACATACACATACACATACACATACACATACACATACACATACACATACACATACACATACACATACACATTTAGAGTAAAGAATACAAAAGTAACGTCATGATTTAGTTAACGTTTCAGATTAAGTTTAAGAAAATGGATTACAATGCAGGCCTACGAAAACAATTTTTCAGAAAATTTAATTGTATTGAGTTCCTTGAGACAGCAGTTTTTCCCAATCAATGTTAATTGTTCTAGTTACCTACATGTATAAACCTGACAAGACATACACAGGTCTCATAGATTGGCTATTGTTATGTGTGTTTTAATTAGATTCAAGATAAAATCAAGCTAAAGCATTCCTCGGGAATAACCGGTTTAATTTTAGATCAATGACGTGACGGCGTTCGATCAGGTACCGAAACAAATAAAAAATGTTTGTTATAATGAGACGGTCCTGCCGTTACAGCTGTCAATTAGAGACTAGCGCTACCTGTGTGTGGTGCAACATAAACGGCTAGCGCTACCTGTATGTGGTCCTATAAAAACGGCTAGTGCTACCTGTATGTGGTCCTATATAAAAGGCTAGTGCTACCTGTATGTGGTCCTATATAAACGGCTAGTGCTACCTGTATGTGGTCCTATAAAAACGGCTAGTGCTACCTGTATGTGGTCCTATAAAAACGGCTAGTGCTACCTGTATGTGGTCCTATATAAAAGGCTAGTGCTACCTGTATGTGGTCCTATAAAAACGGCTAGTGCTACCTGTATGTGGTCCTATATAAAAGGCTAGTGCTACCTGTATGTGGTCCTATAAAAACGGCTAGTGCTACCTGTATGTGGTCCTATAAAAACGGCTAGTGCTACCTGTATGTGGTCCTATAAAAACGGCTAGTGCTACCTGTATGTGGTCCTATAAAAACGGCTAGTGCTACCTGTATGTGGTCCTATAAAAACGGCTAGTGCTACCTGTATGTGGTCCTATAAAAACGGCTAGTGCTACCTGTATGTGGTCCTATAAAAACGGCTAGTGCTACCTGTATGTGGTCCTATAAAAACGGCTAGTGCTACCTGTATGTGGTCCTATAAAAACGGCTAGTGCTACCTGTATGTGGTCCTATAAAAACGGCTAGTGCTACCTGTATGTGGTCCTATAAAAACGGCTAGTGCTACCTGTATGTGGTCCTATAAAAACGGCTAGTGCTACCTGTATGTGGTCCTATAAAAACGGCTAGTGCTACCTGTATGTGGTCCTATAAAAACGGCTAGTGCTACCTGTATGTGGTCCTATAAAAACGGCTAGTGCTACCTGTATGTGGTCCTATAAAAACGGCTAGTGCTACCTGTATGTGGTCCTATAAAAACGGCTAGTGCTACCTGTATGTGGTCCTATATAAAAGGCTAGTGCTACCTGTATGTGGTTATTTATAAAAGGCTAGTGCTACATGCATGTGGTCCTATATAAAAGGCTAGTGCTACCTGTATGTGGTCCTATACGTCTCGCCACAAAAGGCTAGTTAAACTGATTACATTTTACCTGTTGTAATTTTTTTTTAAAATCATCGTACGTTTTTTTTAATTGACCACTAAAATGCGAGCTTCTGATACAATAGCAAATCAAGCCTTGTAAAATATTTTTAACGTTAAATATCGCTCCACTGAGTTTAGTCTTCGGTTCTCTGAGAACAATACAATATCAGTTTGCTTTGTTTTTTTCTCCTGCTAATGCTAGGGTCAGGGTTCAAGTAGCGGCTCTAGTAAAAACCTCTTCATACATTTGGGATGTTTGATATTGAACGGAAGTTAGACTATATCGAACAATCTGCCAAGCACCCAACAAAACTAAACTACAAACGCTGACCCCACAACCCATAGCCCAACAACCTTCGTCCAGCACCCCTGACTCACCACCCCTGCCACAACACCCCTGCCACAACACCCCAGACTCACCACCCCTGGCCCAACACCCCTGGCCCAACACCCCTGGCCCAACACCCCTGGCCCAACACCCCTGGCCCAACACCCCTGTCACAACACCCCTGCCAAAACACCCCAGACCCAACACCCCTGACCCAACACCCCTGGCCCAACACCCCTGGCCTAGCAACCCTGCCACAACACCTCTGACACAGCACCCCTGGCCCGACACCCCTTGGGTCCACACCCGTGTAGCCCCACACCCGTACATCTCCACACCTCCATAATTTATAAGCCCGCGGGAAGGTCTTAACATGCTCATGTTTTACGCTAGACCGTCACAGACTGCTGTAGCGAATCACTAGGGGAGACAAGAGTAACAGATCAGGGGACGCAATCAATTGTTTTTTTTCCTATGTAAATGGATATACCTGGATAATAATTGTCAAATAGATATATCTGACAGGTTTGTAGATAGGAGCTATTGATTCCTACTTTGAATTAACGAAGAGATTGTGCGCCTATTGATTAGACTTAATGAATTAATTCTATTATAATGTATGAATGACATATGTATGTAGGTATCGAAACAACACACTACAATAAAAGACCGTATACATAAGTAGTTTAGCCTTAACACTGTGTGCCTACTGACACGGGTAAAAAACACTTAGTTTTGAATATGGTCGGTCACAATGGTGTAGAACAAAGGGAGATAATACAGCCCATCAACCTAGTGTGACTCTCAGATAAAATACATAATGTGGCTCTTCTCAACATTTATTAGAAATTTTTAGTTGACAATATCTAAAATATCAGATAAGTCAAATTATTATTAGAGTGTGCTAATTTAATTTCTACATTATAAAGTGTAATAAATAATTAATAATAGTTAACCTTTAGTTTGGTTATTTGAATATATTAAATGTTGTCAAATTCTCAGCCTACTTGAAATATTTCAACAGAAAGAAATCACGACAATCAATCCAACAAGGATGCTCGCCCCTGTTGTTGTGTATATCCAACTACTATCCAGTAGCTACTTGCAGTAGTGGAGACAGTGGCTTGTTTGAAGGTAAAGATCGCTGTTGATATTTTATTTTCCCCTCTTAATATTTTAAATTCTTTACCCTTACATAAACTCGCCTATTATTTGCGGTGCATATTATTTTAAAAAAAAAACGAATTATAGTTTAAATGATTTTGTTGCTTATAAGTTATATCTCTAAATTGACTTGTTTTTTTAGCTGCTCTCTCGAGCTTGCTTTGGTCATGCAGAACGGGAAAGCTAAAGCGAACAAAACCAAACCAGCGAACACATCAGTCAACCGTTCAGTCAGCCAGCCAGACGGAGAAGCAGCAGATAACGAACAGGAAGTCAACAACGAGAACGAGGCTGACGCCCATCACGATAACCCGCGCCTGAAGACGGCCAGGTTTCGCAAGGATAGAGCGAGAAGCGATGATTCGCCTAAAACTAACGGGGTTTCAAAATCTATTTCTGGTAACAGAACGGAAAATCCCGCTGCATTAAGACCCACAAGTTTCAACGAACAGATAACTCCACAAAACGGGGTGGAGAAGTCATCTAATGACCCTTCATCTCAAGGGTCTAAGATACCGACCCAACAGAACTTGAATAAGGCCAACCAGTCTAAGATAGCCAAGCTGGCGCCTCAAGACAAACCAGGGATGAAGTCTAACGGTCAGAAAGTTCTAGAACCTATAACAAAGGCGCCCAACCACGGTAAAAATGGCGCCCCGCTGCCCAGGTCACGCGACAGTGGTGGCAGTGACCCCGACAAAAAAGTGTCGTTTAAAGAAAAACTCGAAGACCACTCCGACCTGAACACGCCGGAGTCCAACGAAGACCTTGACCTACTTTCCCAACACCAGCTCCACAGCGGCTCCGTAGACAAGGTGTACCCTCTGACGTCACGCGACCCCCCGGGGAGCTGGAAGCCCGGCGAGGGGGTGAGGAACGGGTCGGTGACGTGGAGGAAGACGGCCAGCGAGCCTGTACTGGCCACTAGGGACGGCTCGGACATGTTTGATGACGTCAGCTGGGTGGACCGCTACGGGAGTGGACGGGACGGGTTCAAGTACGAGCCCACAGGGAGGAAGTTCACCAGCAAGAACGGCCGATCTGTGTTCGGGTAGGTGTTTGGCTGTTACATTTATTGGACTGGTTTTGTCCATAACTCAATCGTTTTTAAGGGGTTACTAGTATCTTTGTCTGACTTATTTTGATTGGTCAGTTGTTTTTTAATACTTGTCTAGCTTATTTACTCGATTATTTATTCTTTCTAAATACTTGTCTGCCTCATTTTCGTTTTAATACGTTAACGACAGGTTTTTATTGGTATTTCAAAATGTAAATGTATTAGTTTACTGAGTTTTACACACCTATCCGGATTTTGAAAAATGTGTCATAATACATTCACTTTTATTCTTGAGACTGATTTCAGTATTTCTTATGATAAAACATAACTAGATTAGATTTGGTTTGTTGGAGATCCAAGATGGCGGGTTGGCCAGGACTATTGGGCTGGGAGGGGGAGGGGGTGGGGGGGGGGGGGTAGAAGGTTAGAATAGAAGAAAACAGTGTAAAGTAGCGAGTTATTGAACCTATTTTATTCATGTAGCTTTATGGTGGTAGAAAGCTCATTGTTCGCCTAACAATAATCTTGATAAGTGATCTACTGCTTGTGTAAGTGTGTGCGTTGTGTGTGTGTGTGTGTGTGTGTGTGTACGTCTATGTTTCGAGGTGTACGCTTGTAAGTATTTGAGCGTGTATGGTTCCATGTGTGTTTGTGTGAATGTGTGTGTGTGAGGCATGATTCTCTGTGTGTATGAGTGCATGGGTGTATGCAAGCGTGATTCCATGTGTGTATGTTTGAATGTCTTAATGTGTGTGTGTGTGTGTGTCTGTCTGAATGTGTGTATGTCTGAATATGTGTCTGTCTGAACGTATGTCTGCATGTGTGTATACTTTTTACGTCTGTGTACAATTACATGTGTGTATGTCTAAATGTGTGTATAATTCAACGTTTGTATGTATGCATGTGTGTATGTTTGTATGTTTGTATGTATGCATGCGTGTATGTTTACGACATTAATTCTCTTCCAGCTCCCACATAAGTTTATGCTCTCACCACTAAAATAATGTTTCCCACAACGACCAGCTGTAAACTTTAACCTCTCATAAACTCCGCACATAGTCGGCCCGGCACTTCATCGTGAGCTCTACACGACCTGAGCAATATCAACCACCTACACCAAAAACATCCACTCTCTACTGAGCTATACAATATTTATAAACATCCACTCTCTACTGAGCTATACAATATTTATAAACATCCACTCTCTACTGAGCTATACAATATTTATAAACATCCACTCTCTACTGAGCTATACAATATTTATAAACATCTACTCTTTACTGAGCTATACAATATTTATAAACACCATCTTCAATGTTGAGTTGATCACAATCTGGTTTTATTTTAAAAAAATGTTTTATCATTATTAGTTAAACATTAATGACTTCCAATGATTATTATAAAAAATAGTGGGTTCAAATAGAATATCCTAACGACCGAGAGAAATCCTTTTGTTAACTGTAAGATCTAAGGTGGAATTTGACAAAAACTGCCACTGATTTTACAACCTTCTAACAGCTTTGTATTGCCTAGTGTTAGAGAATATCAGTACCCACCAGATCTAACTATAGCGCCTCTAGCTAAAATTAGACAAAACCTGACGGTCTAAAGCCCGACTTGTACCCCAACCTATCATTTGACCTAGTAAGGTTCTGTAATCTGACCAATCAACTACCAGTGTCTTCTAGTGGGGTTTTAAAATTAAAAACTCTCGTCAGCTTGTCGGTTTTTCCGCTACTTTCGTTATCTTTTGTACGTGGGATTAGTAACACAGGTCTTTTCTATCAAACAATTAACACAAAATGGTACGGGTTAGCAAGAACCTAAAATACAATGTTTTAATTTAGATCATTACTAATACCTACAATCTAGCTTTAAAAAAGAACTTCTACAAAGTTAACTTCTACCATAGAAAAAAATCAATGCGATCAAAGTTTAACTGTTCTGTTCTTTAAGAGGAATTAACCAAGTTAATTAAAGCCAGAACGTTAAATAATTTATGTGCGCTTGGTAGGTGAGCTTATAATGACGTCACCGTGACTTCAAGGAGGATCGAAGTCTCATGAAGAGGACATGATTAGAAATCAATTTGAAAAATCTACATTCGATCATTTAACATTTTCACATTATGGGAGTTTGACTTACGATTTTTTTGTTTGCTTAGCGCCCCCCCCCCCCCCCAGCACTGCCTTACACCTTTAAGCTGTAATGTAGGCTACCTGGTGTAAAGGTAGCCTCAAGTGGATGTAAGATTATAGACAGTCTGTCTAGCCTTAGAGTGATGTAACATGGTTGGCCTCAAATCTCAACTCACCCGTTGAACGACAACCCGTTAAAATCAATAGTTGACCAGTACAAATACCTGTTTCGCGGACATCAATCTATTTTTTACCTGATTGAAATGATCTAAATAAAGAGTGATTAAAAGCATGGGGATAACAAACACTGGTATCGTTTTAAACAATTGTGTGTTAATGGGTATCGATTCGTGGCTACGTTAGATATTCTGGCCAGTAAGAATCGAAACAGTCCTGATGTTTACTACCATGTAATATTTGACCAGATTCATTAATCGATTTTTGATCTGTTTATGAATTTTTTTATTCTAAAAATCTGCTTTAGTTAAAATACCATAAACTTCAAATGTTTTTCTAAAACAATTGATATCTAGACACTACTTGTAACTTCCAATGTTATTCTAAAATAATTGTTGGGTGGATACTATGTATAACTTTCAATCTTAATCTAAAACAAAACAATTGATAAGTAGACACTTCTTGTATGTTCACGTCTGTTGGTATTCGAGTGTTCTAGAATAACTGGACTCATGATAGGTCTACATGTTTTTTTTTACTCCAAACAAATGTTGGTGCTAGATTTGAAGATAAATTTCATGGATTTTTCTGCTAGTAGTAGTACCATTCAGTGGCGTAGCCAGGATCGTCTCAAGGGGGGGGGTTCCAATTTTTACCCGGGGACAAACTTTCGATTTGCACCCCCCCCCCCTCAAACTTTCGATTTGCACCCCCCCCCCCCTCAAACTTTCGATTTGCACCCCCCCCCTCAAACTTTCGATTTGCACCCCCCCCCTCAAACTTTCGATTTGCACCCCCCTCAAACTTTCGATTTGCACCCCCCCTCATACTTTTTATATATACCGAGGGGTCTATGGGGGGGGGGTTATGACCCCCCCCTAACCCCCCCCTGCCTACGCCACTGGTACCATTATCTATGTCCATCATGATCCTAAACCGATTAAAGTAACAACTGCTTACTATATGGTGTTATGCTCTTAGATTTTTTGTAAAAACTAATAATACTCACTGTATAATTTCAACATCCACGCATTTTAAATAGGAAATAACACTTCAAAAATATGATCGATTTCAAGACTTTTGTTTCAACTTTTTACATTTTATCGCGCACAAATTTTTGTGCATTCAGCGTGGCTATTTCATGCTTTTACTTTTGTTTATATGTGTGAGCTGCGATTAATAATTCATGTCTGGTTTGGCAAACATAAATTATGTGAGTGACATGTGTAGACAACAAATTGATTAGATATGAATGTATGATCAGAATGTATGAGTGAGGAAAAGTATGTAAAGACATGCGCAGTTGGGAAATCTTTCAACACTCTGGTAGCGTGGGTTTGATCAAGGTGATGAAAGAAACCCACTTGGACTCAAAATATGTCAAACAGTAGACCCTTAATGGGATCTTGAAATAATTTGCTGAAGTAATTACTATAATTAGCGATGAATGTTTTATAAAACAATGTTCAGCGATGAAGAAAACTGATGGACAGGGACATATTTTAACAAATACGTTGGGGATCAAAGATGATGATTTTCTAGTACAATTTTTTAGTGTATTCGCATAGACTAATTACGTGTTATTAAGTTTTCTCTCAAGTACAGATAGTCTTTGACCTGAAAAGAGAAGAGTTTTAAGCATTTTGGTCAATTTAATAAAGGTTAAATATATTTACATATTTGATTATCGTATCCTATTTAAAATCTAAAAATAAATTTCAGACTGTAGTTTTTTTGTGTATTTAAAACAAAATTATTTTATGAATTCATTATGTTTTTAAAACGTAGCAATAAAGAAAAGACTTCTAACAATGTATCCTCTCTCTTTACATTCCCCCTCTCTCGTGAAGTAATAATACAAACACGACCACAAACGGTACTTGACAAACATTTAGTTATCACGTTTTTCTTACAGAGAAACAAAGTGTTTAGTAAAAACTAAAGGCGAAACATGAAGGCAAATAATGATGTTAATAGCCGGTAGCTTTTACAGAACACAAAAAAAATATTCTTTAATTAATAAAATCTCTTTCTGCAGGAGCTCAACGTCCCTGTCATCAACAACAGATAATTCTGATGATTCTGATGACGTTTTCAACGTTGTATTACGGTAGGTTATACGTTACGGTAGGTTATAGGTTACGGTAGGTTACAACAACAGATAATTCGGATGATTCTGATGATGTTTTCAACGTTGTATTACGGTAGGTTATACGTTACGGTAGGTTATAGGTTACGGTAGGTTACAACAACAGATAATTCGGATGATTCTGATGATGTGTTCAACGTTGTATTACGGTAGGTTATACGTTACGGTAGGTTATAGGTTACGGTAGGTTACAACAACAGATAATTCGGATGATTCTGATGATGTGTTCAACGTTGTATTACGGTAGGTTATACGTTACGTTAGGTTATAGGTTACGGTAGGTTACAACAACAGATAATTCGGATGATTCTGACGACGTGTTCAACGTTGTATTACGGTAGGTTATAAGTTACGGTAGGTTATAAGTTACTGTAGGTTATAAGTTACTGTAGGTTATAAGTTATAAGTTACTATAGGTTATGAGTTACGGTAGGTTATAAGTTACGGTAGGTTATAAGTTACTGTATGTTATAAATTACGGTAGGTTATAAGTTATAAGTTACTATAGGTTATGAGTTACGGTAGGTTATAAGTTACGGTAGGTTATAAGTTACTGTATGTTATAAATTACGGTAGGTTATAAGTTACTGTAGGTTATAAGTTACGGTAGGTTATGAGTTACGGTAGGTTATAAGTTACGGTAGGTTATAAGTTATAAGTTACGGTAGGTTATGAGTTACGGTAGGTTATAAGTTACGGTAGGTTATAAGTTATAAGTTACGGTAGGTTATGAGTTACGGTAGGTTATAAGTTACGGTAGGTTATGAGTTACGGTAGGTTATAAGTTACCGTAGATTATGAGTTTGATGTGGTTAATATTTACTAATATACTTTTGAATACTCAGGTCTTGCTAAAATGTATTTTTAAATGGATACTAGCAGTAACATCTGTTAAAACTGAATTGAACTCAAGGGAAACAAATGTATAATAATTTTGTGGTGAGCGAGTTGCGTCCCTTTGTCCACAGAGTTCGACCTTTGAACCCGAATGAGTCCGGTAGACGAGACAAGTTTGTGGCTGACTTCCCTGGGGAGGGACAAGTCGCTGTAAGTCATTCTATTTTAAACACTGACATTTTGATACTTACAAGTCGCTGTAAGTCATTCCAAAATATTTTAAGGACTGACATTTTGATACTTACAAGTCGCTGTAAGTTATTCCAAAATATTTTAAACACTGACATTTTGATACTTACAAGTCGCTGTAAGTCATTCCAAAATATTTTAAGGACTGACATTTTGATACTTACAAGTCGCTGTAAGTCATTCCAAAATATTTTAAACACTGACATTTTGATACTTACAAGTGGCTGTAAGTCATCCCAAAATATTTCAAACACTGAACATTTTGGTACTTACAAGTCTCTGTAAGTCATTCAAAAATATTTTAAACACTGACATTTTGATACTTACAAGTCGTTGTAAGTCATTCCAAAATATTTCAAACACTGACATTTTGATACTTACAAGTGGCTGTAAGTCATTCCAAAATATTTAAAACAGTGACATGTTGGTACTTACAAGTGGCTGTAAGTTATTCCAAAATATTTTAAGGACTGATATTTTGATACTTAGAAGTCCCTGTAAGTCGTTCCAAATGAAAACTGCGCAACGGGAAAATGCGCAAATACAATTTTACTATTTTTGTCATATTTCGTGGAAAAGTGTTTAATTAGGCTTCAAGGCAGTGGTCATTCTATGTTAATGTCTATAAATGCTCGATTTAAGAAAACATAAATGCCCTTGCGCACTTTTTTGTGCGCAGTTTTCCGTTGCGCAGTTTTCCGTTGGGCAGTTTTCCGTTGCGCTGTTTTCCAAGCTTGTGTACGGACAGTTTACGCACTAACAGCGCTCACACAGTGCCATGATTTTTGTATGTAATAAAACAAATCCATTAGCAACTTGATGTTACAATGACATTGCCTAGAGTAACTCGTCAGACTAGCGTCATCGAAAGATGATTAATCCACGCTTTTTTTTGTTTCTGTTATTGCTTTTTAAGGATAAGTTTAGGGATAACGTGTGTGTACATTTAAGAAACATTTTTCCATCCACTTCCCTTAAAAACTCGATATGACCTTCTTATATGCAACTAATGTAGTTTTATATAACAAACCTCACACCTAACCTAATTTTCACACAAAAAATACAATTGCATAATGTAAGGGTATACCAATGGCTACTATATAAATATTGTGATTTTAATACAATGTAAATAGTGGGAATCTAATTTTCGAGAAAAATCAATTGTTATATTTTTATTAAAATCTTTATTTTGTACTGTATACACATCTGAAATATATAAAACTTGCTGTGTTATTTATATAATGTCAGATGAGATTTTGCATAATTTTTTTGCGCAATGGCATATCAGATGATGTGATTAATACATTATTGTCATATGTCATGTCAAGTGAGAAGTTTCATGCAATTATTATCATATGTCATGTCAGGTGAGATGTTTCATGAAATTATTGTCATATGTCATGTCAGGTGAGATGTTTCATGAAATTATTGTCATATGTCATGTCAGGTGAACAATGCCGGAACAATCCGGAACTTCCAGTTTAACGTCGTCTTTGAGCCGGATGCCGGTCAGGAGGACGTGTTTGAGAACTGTGGCATCAAGAAGTTGGTGGAAGCCGCCATGAACGGGTACATGGGTTTTATGTCAGGGGTGGGGGGGGGGGGCGGGGGTGGGGGTGTGGGGGTGGAGGTCGCCATGAACGGGTACATGGGTTTTATTTGTGGGGTGGGGGGGAAGGGTTGGGGGTGTGGGGGTGGTCGCCATGAACGGGTACATGGGTTTTATTTGTGGGGTGGGGGGGAAGGGTTGGGGGTTGGGGGTGGAGGTCGCCATGAACGGGTACATGGGTTTTATGTCAGGGGTGTGGGGGGGGGGGGCGGGGGTGGGGGTGTGGGGGTGGAGGTCGCCATGAACGGGTACATGGGTTTTATGTCAGGGGTGTGGGGGGGGGGGTGTGCGGGTGTGGGGGTGTGGGGGTGGAGGTCGCCATGAACGGGTACATGGGTTTTATGTCAGGGATGGGGGGGGGGGGTGGGGTGGGGGTGGGGTGGGGGGTAGGTGGAGGCCGCCATGAACGGGTACATGGGTTTTGTGTGTGGGGTGGGGGGTGTGTGTGTGGGGGGGGGGTAGGTAGAGGCCGCCATGAACGGGTACATGGGTTTTATTTGTGGGGTGGGGGGGAAGGGTTGGGGGTTGGGGGTGGAGGTCGCCATGAACGGGTACATGGGTTTCATGTCAGGGTTGGGGTTGGGGGGGGGGGGGCGGGTGCAGGCCGCCATGAACGGGTACATGGGTTCTATGTGAGGGGTGGGGGGTGTGAGGGTGGGGTGGGGGGTGGAGGTCACCATGAACGGGTACATGGGTTTTATGTCAGGGGCGTGGTGTGGGGGCGGGGGTGGGGGTGTGGGGGTGGGGGTCGCCATGAACGGGTACAGGGGTTTATGTGAGGGTTGGGGGGTTAGGGGGTTGGGGGGTAGGTGGAGGCCGCCATGAACGGGCACATGGTTTGTATGTGAGGGAGTAGGTGGGGCGGGGAGGGGGGAATAGAGTTTGGAGTAGGAGTGGAGGCCGTAATGAATGGATATATGGTTTTATGTAGGGGATGGGGTAGTGGACTGATGGGGACCTGGGGGAGGAGGCAGGTGGGTATGTTGGGGTGTGGTGGTAGGGGGGAATTTGATGGTCCGCTATAAGTAGAAGAGTTTTACATGGGGGGGGGGTCGGAGGTTTGTGGAGGGTTTGCTGGAGGCCGCCATGAACAGGTAGATAGTTTTTATGTGGTGGTGATTTCAGTAGTCTCGAAAAATATTTTTTAATAAATAATAGAGTGATTTTAGGACTTTGTTTGTTTGGTAATGTCTGTTTTATTATTCTTTTCCATCCACGGAACAATTTCTGTTTCTTATAGTACGTAAAGTACCAGTTATATTTTTATTGAAATAGTACATCAGATACCATTTAGGGAAACACTCAATTTGTTGTGTAATGATCTTATTGTCCAGGTACACGTGCACGGCCTTTGCTTTTGGTCAGACGGGGAGTGGGAAAACTCACACGATGACAGGCCCTCCAGCACAGGTAGGTCAAGGTCAATTGAAACATTGGCCGGTGATAAAGTTAAAGTTTTATAGGGTCGTTGTGTAGGTATTGGGGTCTTTGTGTAGGTAATGCGGTCTTGGTGTAGGTTATACAGTCTTGTTGTAGGTATTGGGGTTCGATTATGCCATAACAATTTCATCTTAAAACAGGGGACCGGGGCGTTAGATAACTGGCGATAAACTAAATACAAATTTGGCTTACTACTGTCAACGCCAACCCTATCTCCAGCACAAATCCTAAACCAAATACTACAATAGGCCTGACCCTAATTTCTGACCATAAAACTAATCCTGTGATTACAATACTACCAAGAACCAAACACACACTTGTTCGGAAAAAAAACAACAACTATAGTTGGAGATCAGTATAATCAATAATCCGATAAATGATAGTTTGATAGAAGATAAACAACACTAGTCAGTTAGCTCAAAGGTACACATAATTTCTCATCTGTTGTTTTGTGTAAACGAAATAGAGGGGTCAATTAAATTTTAATTGACCCCTCTATTTCGTTTACACAAAACAACAGATGACTTATACTATACTCATCCAGTTGGCAAAAAAAAAAAAAAAAAAAAAAAAAAAAAAAAAAAAACGAAAAAAAAACACAAAAGGGGTGCTACTCTGAAAATACTACAGCGCATAAATACCGTTGTTGACTCCCCTGTATTATTTGCTTAACGAAAATGGCGTGGGTGCTGGTATCAAGGTGTTTGGAGTCACGGTGTAGGTTTTGGGGTCGGGGCAGGAGTTGGAGTCGGGGTAAGTGTTGGGGTCTTGGTGTATGTGTGGGTGTTGGCGTCATGGTGTAGGTGTTGGTGTCGTGATATAGGTGTAGATGTATATAGTATGTACATTTAAAATGAAAATATCACATTTATTTGGTTAATACATTTTAAGGTGGCATTCTTTTATTGTTCATTCATTTAAAGTAAAATTAGTTTAGTTTGAACTTATTTCATAGTTTAGCTTATACATTTCGAAATGGAATCTTTGCATTGCTCCATTTAAATCTTGTATATATTTGAAATTGGTATTATTTCATTGTTTAGTTTATACATTTTAATCCAGAAAAACGGCACTAAAGTGGTAAGTGGTAGCTTTGATGTCACCATTTTAGAACCTCAACTTGCCTATTGTATTGGTTTATCTCGGTTGTTCACAAAAAACTTGATATTTTAGTCTTCACAACAATGGCATTGTAAACTATCACATTTGTGTTCCGTTGGCAGCTATGTTAAATCTCTTTCTTTGTTTATAATAGTAATCTAGTTATTTCTTTGAATGCACTTATATCTAAATGTTTGTATTTCAATTTCAAAAAACAAGTTATTAAAAAGTCTAGTGACAATTTAAGCGCAATTTCCTTATGTTATCCATAACAATTTTAAATCGAGATAAATCATATATTCAGCAAATAAATAATGCAACACAAGTAGTTTTAATAATTCAAAACAAAATAGAAAAAATATTTATTATTTATAGATTGAAAAAATAACCTATATCAACGGACGAGTAGGCCTACAAGATGCTCAGTTTAAAAAATATTACAACGTTTATATCAGTATTTGTTTGTAAACATTAGCACGTGGAAAAAAACGAGCGACGCGTAGCTCGCCCCTCTCTCTCTCTCTCTCTTGCCGCGCGCAGTGACGCGAACGATCCCACGTCGCGACAGGCTAGCCTCCCGTATCAGTCGAAAAAAAAATCCTTTCGAACCTCCGCTCATTCGCTATTGTAAAATCCTTTCGAACCTCAGCTTTGCGCTAAAAACCTACACGATGCTCAGTTTAAATGTTTTTAATTAATTTTTGTGACCGAACGGAAGGATATTTTTGAAAACTTTCTTCGGCAATATTGGTCTAAATTATCACAGGAATCGATTGGTAAATGTTTCAAGTCGCTAAGTGGTCTGGTTGCCGAGATATGGAGCAAAACTGCATTTGTTCGAGGTTTTTTGGCTTTTCCGGGAAATCCAGCAAGGAATTCCGGGAATTTTTTTGGGCCCACAATCGTCCATGGAACTTGCTTAACATATTTGTTTTTGGAACTAGTCCTCGATATTGCTTCGTTGAGGAGGAGATACCACTTAAAGCTGCGGACATACATCCATCCATCCATACATCCATCCATACAACCATCAATCCATCCAGAAATGACCAGTTAATAATCGCAATTGTCCGTATGGAAATTGCGCTAAAAATTGTTAGCAATTTTAATGCTGAGATTAATATCTATTGATTTAATCATATCGTTCAAGTACTTTATTATGCAAAAGGTAATTGGTTTAATGTGCTAACTTAAAGTATTCTCGCCTCTTAATTATAATTAGTTTATTTAAATTTTTAAGTAAAAAATAATTATACTAATTACATTTTTTATTTTTTTAAAAATACAAAATTTAAAAAAAAAAACATTACATTTTGGTATGATGTTTGATGTGTCATGAATAGTCAGGATTACGTAAGGCATTGTTTATAATATGCTATATGTGTTAGATATGGTATAGCACCAGTCAAACGATCAGTCTGTATTGTATGTTGTATGTGTGTTGTATGTGTGTTATATGGTACGAGCCGACCCGCGGCGTATCATACGCCGCTATTTAGTTGTTTTATTTTCTACTTTTCAGTAATTCATAATTTGTCAATTCGACAGTACCACTGCTGCCACTGAAAATATTTGCTTTAAAACACTATCAGTAAGTCGTTAAGGACGATAACCCCCCCCCCCCCCCCCCCCCACCTCCTTTCCCCCAACCACTACCCCCCCCCCCCGTGAAAGCAGCCTCCATTTAGCTACCTCCCCTAAGTTTAAAATCGTTTCAAACTAAATTATCTGCCCTTAATAGCCGTCACTAAACCCTGCTCTACGATTGTAAACATTTAGCGTAAACCACAGCTCACCAGACTTTCTAGAGAGGAAGAGAGGGGACTGCAAGGCGCGCTTACAGCTTGTTTTCTAACGTCTCTAAGAAAAGAATTATATATATAGATATTTTCAGTGGCAGCATTGGTACTGTCGAATTCACAAATTATGAATTACTGAAAAGTAGAAAATAAAACAACTAAATAGCGGCGTTTGATATGTCGCGGGTCGGCTCGTAGCAAATAATAACTTAAAGTTGTATTTATTTGTAAGCGGTCAACCTAAGGTGCAGGAATTTTAAATGAATGTAAAGTTAAGCAACGAATTATCTCCCATTTTGAAATCCAAACACCAAAGTTGGTATTCAGGGGAAATAGCTTTCACAAAAATAGCTAAATTAACCAAGTGTATCTAAGACATGTTTGAAAAACACAATAAAACGCTTTAAATTTCATTACGCAATAATTATAATAAATCTTTTATATTAGCTATGTAACCTTGTAAAAACAATATATTTTACTTATTGAATACTAAACTGTATGTTTTGTTTGAAAGTCTAAAAACGGTAACTTTATTATAACATACTTCTATTCAATTTTGAGGACATACAATTATTTTCATGATGTATTACGAGATCTTAGATAAATTTTGGATCCCCTAAATTAAGGGACGTCTTTCAAAAAGTCATACACGGATAACTGTATAAAACAGGGGTCGGCAACCTGCGGCTCTTTTGATGTCAAGATGCGGCTCTTCAGCTCCATGCACAAATATCAATAACGAACCGACCCGCGGCATGTCATACGCCGCTATTTAGTTGTTTATTTTCTACTTTTCAGTAATAATGTACCAATGCTGCCACTGAAAATATTTGCTTTAAAACACTATCAGTAGGTCGTTAAGGACGATACTACCCCCACCCTCCTTTCCCCCAACCCTTCCCTACACCCCCCCCCTCCCCGTGAAAGCAGCCTCCTCTTAGTTACCTCCCCTTAGTTTAAAATCGTTTGAAACTAAATTATCTGCCCCTTATAGCCGTCACTAAACCCGGCTCTACGAATGTAAACATTTAGCGTGAACCACAGCTCACCAGACCATGTAGTGGTGGGGTGGTAGGGAGCGTGTTTACAGCTTGTTTTCTAGCGTCTCCAAGAGGAGACTTTTATATATATATATATATATATATATATATATATATATATATATATATATATATATATATATATATATATATATATATATATATATATATATATATATATATATATATATATATATATATATATATATATATATATATATATATATATATATATATATATATATATATATATATATATATATACGAGCCGACCCGCGGCGTATCATACGCCGCTATTTAGTTGTTG